TTTGTTTTCTCACTCAATGATGTTTCAATATTTAGCAAGCATTTTACGATGATTCGAGGATTTTAAGCAGTGCTTTTAGTTGATAATCGTCCTTTTTGATAGACCTGACAGTACAAAACAGGGAGCGAAAAGTTAGATAAAGTAGTTGTAGAGGTAGTGCAATTAGGTTTTGTATAACTCCGTCTCTTTTATTTTTTTGTCTGATAGTATTTAGAGATTTCAGCTTCATGTTTTTAGAATTAACTTTCTACTTGGACCAATGAGTACTGCAAAGTAAGGCCTCCTTCAGCAAGTCCGTTTTTGAATGAATTACTCCACTGTTTTTGTTTTTGAAAACCCTGTATCTTCAATTGTCCTAGCTGACTCTAGTATCTCGTCTCTCTTCGTTTTCAAGAACTTTAGCGCGCAGCAGTTTCATCTTCAATTAATTTGATTTTATTCGTCTCAACGGTTTCGTCTTGCTTCTTGAAGTCTCGACACCGCCTGCACTTGATTTTAGCGGTGATCTTAACCTATTGGCTACCATATATCAAACCCTGGAAAAAGATCGGTTATAGCGACAACTTCGAAAAAAATCGGTCATAGCGACAACATTTCTGGAATACTAACAATCCCAGATGTCTTGGTCCGGCTTCTCGACCCTGTTAAGGCATGCCATGGATCGTCCGAATATGTCTTGCCAGGTTTGTCGTCGATATTGAGACTGCGCACATGGGGCAGTTTTTCTTCTCTTCGAGTCGTCGATTTGTCGCGGGGGTAGTCATGCATTTTCTCTTATGATTTGTAAGGGCCGACTTTGTTGCTACCGTCTTTTTGCATCTTTCACAGGTTTGTTTTTCGTCCCGATCATTTCTATGCATCTTGTAACATGTATTTTCAGGCCCGTTAGGCTCTTACATATTCGTCCACATATTGAGCATGTTGTGGATGTATTTATTTCTGCTGTTTGGTTCCTTTCTGTGTTCTCTTTATCTGCTTTTTTGTTCTCCCACATTCTGATTCTTCTCACTCTCTCTTCGATGAACTTCTTGTATTTTTTCCAGTTTAATGCTAAGCTTTCGATGGTATCCGGGTCTTGGCCTGCATTTCTCAGCAGTGTCCTCCAGTATCCAATAATGGTTTGTCTGGCTTTTCTATGCTGGTCCGAAATTTCTGGAGCTGGCCAGCCCAATACCAATTGCGTAGTTAACCTGTTGTTGTCCATTCTAAGTTTGTGTCCAATTCTGATTAAATGCCGTTTCTCAATCTTCTGTTCCATACTATCAATGGTCAATTGTTTCCTGACTCCACACAAATTTATACTCTTTTCCTGCATTTCTTTAATTGGGGTTTGTCTTTGCTGGCCCATAAGTATATCGGTATAATCTATCAATTTCTCTTTGTAATTTGTTTATTTCTGATTTATACCATGGGCGTACCGCGGCGTCGAACAGTATCATTGACTCAACGCATGTTTGTGCTACGATCGCCTGCTGGTGTTTTTGCTTTTCTTTCCAATCAGTGTGGTATCATCTGCGAACAGCACTTCGGTTAACCTTAGAACCCTCGTCGCAGAGTTACCACTAGCCTTTTTCGTGTCTTTAGGGGGGAAAGAGTTCCCTGGACTCCACTGCCATGGTGCTCAAATAGGTTGGCGCGCTCTTTCTTGTCTTGTTTTTGTGGCTATTCTGATATATGTTGCATGATATACGTTGAATAGACCAGGTGAGGTGGTACATCTTTCCCTCAATCCTCGTAGGGGCATCCATGTTGTACTATTGGCTTCCCTGCCCCTTACCTCATACGTGGTGTGCTCGTTCAACCCTTTCAAGATGGTTATTGTTTCCTTCTTCATTCCGAACTTTTTCAACATTTTCCATAAAATGGGTTTGTTTACGCGAGGGTAGGCCTTTTGGATATCCAAAAGGATGGCTTTAATCGAGTTTTCTGATTGGATGTTTTCATTTATCAGCTCCTCGTGCATTTTCACCAGAATTTGTGTGGCATCAGCAGTCGATCTTCCGGCGCGGAATCCTTGTTGGTTTTCATCCAACAGGTTTATTTCCTCACTCCAGTCTCTGATTCTTGATGCCATGACCCTAGCTAAAATTCTGGATGCCATGGATAGCAAACAAATACCCGTGTAATTGTTCTTTTGGTCCCTTTTTCCCTTGTTTTTGTATAGAGGTATTACCATTCCTTCTTAAATAGTGTTTTCCCATTCATCAGGATTTCTTCCGGCCATTTGTTTTATTTTCTCGGCCATTACGATTTGGGTTTCAGGATTACATTTCCTAATCATCCCTATGGTGACAACGTCTTTTCCTGCCGCTCCATCACTCATTTCCTTCATCTGTTCTAGTTTTTCTCCTACTGTTACCTCTTTTCCCATCTTTTCTGCTGCTCTTTTTACCTCTTGTTCTTCCCTCCGGTCTGGTATCCATGATATGACTTCCTGTATTTCTTCTGACGTGTGTTCTGATCTTTCTTTAGATACTTTCTCAAAATCTGTTTTAAATTCTTCCGCTGAGAACTGCTCACTCGGTGCGCTTCTCTTATCGTCTCTTAGGCCCAGTTTCTTGAGCGTCTTGTACATTTTGCCCCAGTCGTTTCTCTCGCTGGCATCTTTGGCCTCTTCAATGATGGTATCCCAATATTGGTTCTTCCATTGTCTCTGATGCTTTTTGAAAGCTGACCGGTGCCGCCGTACTTCTTCTCTTGTATTCATGTACTCTGTCGATTGTCTCGTTTCCCCTCGCTGGAGAATTTCCCTCGTTTTTCGAACTGCTTCAGCTATCTTTTTTCGAAAATTTTCACATTCTTGTTCCCGGCCTTTCATCCATGGCAGGTTAACGTTCTTTTCTGTTCTGCCACTTTTTTCTAATGCTGCTCCATGGTTTGTTTTTGCCGCCTCCGTCATCCCATTGTTTTCAGTTCTTGTTCCTTGTTTTGTACCGTTTCTTTGAATTTCTTTACAAACGGCTCCAGTCTTAGTTTGTCTGTGTCTACCTTTTTTCCCGGTTCATCAGATTTTCCCTTGAAGAGGGGTTTCCGAACGTTTATTGTGATCTGTTTTTGGCGATGGTCAGAAAAGGAGTCTGCTTTTATTACCTTGATGTCCTTCAAGAGTCTGCTCCTCTGATGTTTTTTCAGGACAAAACCATCCAATTCATACCATTTGGCATTCAGTCTGTTGAATCACGTGCCCCTGTGCTCCATCCATACGAAGGAGTCTGCCCAGCATAAGTTGTTATCCTCGCACTATTGCAGGAAATCATCCCCTGGACAGTCCCTAATCCCCATTCCGAAAGTACCCTTAGTACCGTCTGCGAAGAGCCGATCGCCTCCATAAACCATATGTGAGTTATGGTCTCCCCCTATTTTTAACCATTCTTGGTTAGTGGATGTGGTCACTTGTTCCTCCAGCTCTCTTCTGTATATCTCCATTGTCTCTTCTCCATACTGCCATAGAGGTTGGTATCCTGCTACTAGGCGAAGGTGTGCGACTGTTACTGATGTTACCCTTTCACCCCAACATTTTTTCTGGCCCTCATCTATCGCTCATTAGTACTATGTTATGTCTTTTACGGAGGCAGTAGAATGCAAAACGCCGCAGTTTTCTTCTGTTGTTGACTTACATAGACATTTTTTGCAGGTTCCAAGTTAGAATGTTTGTTGTTTTTATCTCTTGTACTTCTCTTCTCATTTTCTGGAGTCTGATGTTCTTCCTCCTTGTTGTTTTCCTCTCTCTTTCTTTTCGTGGGTCCCCGCCTTTCTGTACTAATGCGCACCAACTGCATTTGTTGCATTCGAAATCTTTATCCCATTGGCGGCTGTTAGTCAAGTTCGTACACTTCAAGTGGACGTATCCCCCTCTTCCGCACCAAACACTTTCTTGAGTCTTGTCATAAATACCTTTGGTGCACACTGGGCACTTGACTCTCGTCCCGGGATTTGGGTGCACATCACCTGCACTAGCTAATAACGTCAGAGCCAAATCGGCAGGATCATTTGACTCTGTAATTGAAAACCCGCCCAACGCTTTGCAACATCGTTGACTGTCCTGGCAAGAACTTTTCGGGTCGTCTCTTTGTGGTACATAATCCCTGGGTGGATTTGGTTCTTCTCCCTTTCGGTATTTTGGACCTTCTCCATGGTTCCCTGGGTTGATCTGTCTTTTTATTTTCGTATTCTGGGGAGTACGGTCTTCGCTCGCCACCACTTGAAGGTAACAGACCTTGGGCAAACAATCCCAAATGTCTCTAAGATTTAATCCTTCAATAAGCTCAGCTTCAGATCGGGCCTTGATGTTGCATCGTCTGGCCTGGAGTGTAATAGCATCTTTCGCTTCACGAAGAAATTTTTCCTTCTTTTTTGCGCTCTTGCTAAATTTCTGCTATACTTGCCCTTGTTCGTTTTTTGACCTGGTTTATCATTGCTTCCTTTTTTCCATTGAGATCTTATTAAAATGAGTCGTTTTTTAAGAGAGGGTTTCAGCTCTGCACTTTTTCGCTTAGCTCTCTTGTCATTTGGAGGGAGTTGGGTTTGATTGAGGTAGATATGTTGTATTAGAGGTAGATATTCACTTTTACTGATATCGCTAATTTCATTTGGAACAATTGTGTTGTCTTTGATCTGTTTTAAATTTTCTGTGACTGAAACTATTCAATAAGTTTATCACAACAATTAAGCTCTGTGAGAGAATTATTAGGCATATTGATGACATTTTAAGATGCTTCTAGAGATGTGGATCTTCTGCTACATTTCTTAGCCCAGCTTTTGGATGCATCCTTGCTCTTGTGGCCTCTCAGTCTGCGTGAAGGTGGTTACAAATTCTGTATCTGTTTATTGAGAAAAACTTGAGTAGCTAGACAGAGCGTATTTTTGTGGGATAGTTAAAGAGATCTCGAACTTCGAACCTGCATAGATTCGGTTAACGTATCGCAAACAAAGCAGATTATGTAGATGTTTCTCTTTGATTTTATTTTTGGTTCTGGCTTATGAAATTCAATATATCTAGTGAAGGTGAAAATGAGAGAAGTTTTTGATATCATATTATACTGACGTCATTCAATTATTTGGTTTGAACTCTTTGACTGTATTTGGTTTGAACTATTTGACTGTATTTGGTTTGAACTCTGACAAGCCCTGATAAGACCTGAAGTCACAGTGACTAAACTTGGGGTCAAAATGAGACTGTATTGTTTGATCCCACGGACAGTCCCCATTTGCCCTAATTTGAAAAGAACCAAATTGTATTTGAACAAAGACTACCCTGACAGATGGGTATGGTTATTCAGTGCAGCCTGTGAAGTTTGCAATAAGTATATCCATAGTTTTGCTCTTTTTCTAAAATAAATTAAATGTTTAGTGTAACTACCGTTTTGCAGACCCTATTTCAAATATGTGAACAAAGTTGTCCCTGTTCAGCTTAACAAATTCAATTATTACCGGTCTGGGTTATTGGTTCGGAGTTTTATTTGGTATGCAAAATTTGCGGGAAATAGCCAGTAACTGTGCAACTTCAACTTTGAACCAAATGGTTTTGCACAATTAGGTTGGGTTGGCTGCAAGTAGAATTCATTGGTTTATTGGAGGGTTTTATTCGATCAAACTTGTGACTAAAATGCAAAGAACCCAATGGGTTGTCAAACTCTTAATGTCGATCAATCCACTTTATTCCAATTATCATTCTGTGTTTGTTTCTACTAATTGATCTGATTATAATTTCATCAGTGGACGATCAATGCAATCTCCGAGCGGTTTTTATTTGGTCACCTTGCATTTTGGGTCTTTATAGTGGTCATAGTAAGTTTATATAACATTACATGTATTTAAATATTAGCTGCAGATAAATAGGTAGTTGGTTTGAAGTTCACTCGTTCTTTGATCTGTCTTTGCATACCTTTGCTGCTACTATCGCTTCGCTTTAGAACGTTCGGACACCTGACAGGACCTTTCACTTTGCCCAAAGACATTCAACGCTCTTTTGACTGACAATCCCTTCAATTTAGATTCAGAAAAGATTCGTTGAAATAAAAGGCTCTTCGTGAAAACAATTTTTGAAGTGAAAAAATTTGTATGATAGTGAAACTTACTCAATCTTCAATCATATTTGTGCTAATGTGTTGATCTGTTTGAAACAAGTCTTGGCAGGTGGCCAAATAGCTCTGGTATAGTGGTGCTTTATAACGTTACTTCTATCAATTTGTGCTGCTTATATTTATTCGACTGAGCGTTTATTCGCACTAAACTAAACAATTAAAACAAACATCAGATTACCAGCTGACGAAAATGCAAGACGACGTCTGTTTTTCGATCCAGTTTCAAGCCATCAACTTACCACATCTTGACCAGGTAGGCTCCATTGACCCTTACGTGTCAATAGAAAACAACGAAAGTGACAATGTGGCCAGGACACGATTTGTCAGCAACAATGCCAATCCCACGTGGCCGAAGGTAAAAGTACCTCTGGACCGATTGACATTCGCACTGAGTCGAGAGAAATCCGACCATCTGAAGGTTGTGCTGAACGTTCACAACTACAATATTGTCCGCTCGAATGAATATGTGGGCAGTGTTTGTATAGAAGTGGGCGACTTGTACGATATCTACGAGAGTAAGGAACCGAGAGCGTGGGTTCTGGACGATCAAGACAACCAAGAATGCATGCTTTGTAAGTAACCTATATCAGTTTAGTTTTTTTCCTCCTGGAAGGTTTTCAGTTTGAGTTTTTTCGGCTCTGGCCTCCCATATAAGCATCCCAATTGTAATTCGGGCTCCGAAACAATATTTCAATAAATATCTCTATTTCATCTTCTCTCGGTCCCATCTTCAAAAACAGTTTGAAGAAAGACCAAATTGACTCACGCGTCACTCAAGCTATGAAATACTATATGGAATCTTTTCACATAGTGAAGGGCGTTGGCACGGCGTTGTAAGACCTTATTACTATGGTGATTCAAAAAATCCAAGGAAAACTAATTAAACTTTAAAATTTGATTGAGTTTTTCTTAAATTTTGCTTAATTTAGATAAAACTGATGCGTGCAAAAGTTTCTTAGAATGTTTTTGAAGTATAATGTCTGAGATAACTTTTGTTTTCTTAAATTTCATTGAAAAGTTGATATTAAATTGAAAAATTAACATTTATATGAGTAAATACGGCTTTTTTGGCCTAATTTTCAAACCTTATCTTCTCGTATTTTTGGGCTAAGCAAGACGCTCGTTTTGACTAAATTTGCTTTGAAAACGATTACTCTGAAGTGTTGCGTTTTCCAAATCAAAGGAATCGAGGGAAAAGGATCTGTTTTTTTTTGGGTTACTTTGGATTAGAGCTTCTCAAACCAATGATTTCGGACCTTGATAATTCTGGCAATTAGTGAACTTTTTTGAGTACAATTTCAAATTGATGCAATATTTCGCTTGATTCTATTCAACCGGATAAATTCAATCAGCAGTGTAACACCGTCACTCGTGGAAAAATTTGCGATAAAAACTGCATTCGAAAATTTCTGTAACATTGACCAAGCTACCTTCTACTCTTTAATAGCCAATAAAAAAGTTGATACATCGTTTTATATCTAATACCTTGCGAATTTGTGGGGGTCGGAAACTACAGAAAGAAAAATGGAAAAATTGAGATGGTGATAAAGAACAGGCTCATAACAAAGGGTATGTAATTACAGCCAGAACACCTGTTGGTCTGCATGAAGCACAGAATTTTCGCACTACGGTAATTATTGCCAAGAAACAGTAATATATATATTAACACAGAGGTGAAAAATTGTTTGTATCCAATTAAACTTGCGGCGGAAGACAACGGCCAGTATTGGACTAGCATTAAAAACTTACCGACCGCTAACTATACAAGAAAACCGGGAAAAATGGTCAGAAAAAATCTAAACGTGGGATTTGGTATAAGCAGAATAACGGGTAAAAATGAGAAACTTCTAATTTTTGTTCGTAAATTCGATGTGTCATTATTTTGAATCGATTAGCAACAAAAATTTTGAGACATCACGAGGAGTTAAGATGAAAATTTGCTAGGAATTAAGTCCAAACCCAGACGAAACAAGTATGTCAGAAAGCAAAATGCTGGCAAAAAATCTGTCGTCTATTTCATTTTTTGTTGCTATCAGAAATATTTGGTAAGTATAAAAACGAAAAGCTTGAATTACGTTTTTAATGAAAGTGTATTAAAAAAAGCAAAAATAAAGTAAAATAGGAAAAAATTATGTGTGCTAGAAAAAAATAGCACACAATAAAAAATATCAGAAAATTCCGAGCAAAATATGAATTAAAAATGTATGTAAGGTAATATGTGCTATGATAGCACTAAACGCCTCCTAAACCAGAGTTTCTTGCTTAGAGAAGTTATCGTTTTACAAAAAAAAACATAAGCAGGAAAGCATTTAAAGCAGAATAAAAATCAATTGAAAAAAAAACTGATTGAAGTTTATACCAAGAAAAAGAAACTCGTGACTATAATTAGATTCGTCAAAAAGAATATCACAATAGGAAAAAAACAATAAAAAAAAACTTTGAACAAAATTCGAATTTTTTCAAATGATGTTCTAATTTTTCTAAGAGAAGGTAGGCTAAGTGATTTCGAAATTTCAAACATAACTTGTCGAAGTTGAGTCAATAATCAAAAAACGACTCGCTACATATAAAAAAACGTAGGATAATAAACAGACAGAATTGAAGCCGACAATTTATAAAGAGTAATGAATGTAATGAAGACTCTTTATTACGTCTTGCTGATTTTTTTTTTCAGGAAAAAGTCTTAAAATATTGATGCACTTAGGTAAAATGCACTTTTTGAGTCCAATTGAAATTCATCTGCAGAAAATGACTTAAATAACACTCTCCAAATACGAACGTGCAAATGCCGCCAAAATTCTTGAACGGCTACTTGTTTCGAAAGTGGAATGTAAGTTTTAGATTTCCAGCGGAATAAAAACTTTACCCGTTGATCCAGGTTTCTCAAGTTGGGTTAATATTATCAAAGAAGCGCCAATCATAAACCGTTCTAAGAATTCAAAGAGCTCAAAGGGCATCTATTTTTTTTTCAAACATCGAAATTTGAGATTTTTTCAACAAAGTCAGTGTTTTTTTTATGTTAACTTGCGTTCATTGCTCCTTTCCAATCTTCGATTGGCTATGTTTACGCTTGCGATTAGCAAGCGTTATCAAATCGGAATCGAGACTTTTTTCAGGTTAACAACTTATTTAATAAAATCAGTGAAAACAATTGCTGCTATGCTACCGACATGCTCAATTTCATGAAATTTTAAATAAAAGTACCTTAATTAGGTAGTAAATAAGTGAATAACGTTTTGAGCATTATCATTTTTTCTAATAAATTTCTTGAAAAACGGTTGAATTTTTTTCGGATTCTTGGTTTTCGGCCTAATTTCCGTCGGCTCATTTCACGTTTGTTTAAATGGCATTTTTTATCTGGTACTTATTTTATTGTCCTTCTTTGTAAAGCATGGTTTTTTTCCTGTAAATTTTTTTCTTATGATTGAAAGTTCTGTAATTTGTCATTTTACCAAGTCTGATTTTAAATAATTTTGGTTTTTATAAGTTTTTTTTAATAAAACGGTTTCAGCTTAGATTGTATCAGCTTAGTCAAGTTGCAGAGTTTCAAAGGCCAAAAAATTCCTTTTCGACATAGTCAGGTCTTATAAAAACGTATGGGATTGGGTTATTTTTATTTTTTTGAGACGCTTTTGAATTTTTTTTCATTTTTTGCAAAAGTTCGGTAGAAAACTACTCTTTCGGTTTTCAAAAAAAGTTAACAATAAAAGGAACTTATGCTCATCTGTATGCCTGCATAATCTTCTATACTTTATCGTACTGTCTACAGCCTTCGAAAAAGTCTTTAGGGGGAATATTTGACCCAAATTTTTGAGTTTTTCCCCTTTTTAAATCAATTCTCCCAATTATGAGATTTTGGATTCATTGGATAGAATGGTTTGTTAAGTTTTTCTGCATGTGCGGCCACGCCCATTTTTTTATACAACAAGTTATGGCCCTCGGAAAAATTAAAATAGTGTTTTTTGACATTTTTTTGAAATTATATATTCTTTTCTCGAAAACCACCCTGCTAATTCTTCGGTTAAGTGTTCAATCGAGAAACCCGTTTTTGGAAATATTCTCTACTTAAGCGGCAATGTCCATTTTTGCGGAAAATTTTATGGATTTCGAAAAAAGTTCCTGAACGTTTGATCGTGCTTTAGAATATTTTTGACTTCTTAGAAACTACCTTATAAAATCTGAGGTAAAGGGTTCAATCGAAAGAACTTTTTGCGATACTTTTTTCCTACAGAAGCGATGACTCTTCCAGTTTTTTGTAAGAAAAATGTAATATCTCATGGATGATTCCTTTTTCTCGAAACTTTTCAGTCTTTTCAGTTATTTTATTAGAGAAACAACTAAGGTTGCAATACCCTTGCTTATCACTTGGGCAAAAAACTGCTTGGTTTTCATTTCTAAATATTTCTTCTTTTTTTCGAGAAATTACGGTCATTGTTACAAATCAGTCAGTTATGGTTAAAGTTGCTCAAAACGTAGATCAGGTCTGTATCAATTGCACGTGCGATAAACAAGCGTTATCTAATCTGAATAAAGACTTTTTTAAACAAATTCAATTAAATTTTTCGACAGCCTGATTTATATCATTTAAATTTTTTGAATTTTCCGGCACACTTGGCCCAGAGGTTACAGCTACGTCTGGGATAGCAAAGTTTAAGATTATTGATCCAGCCAGGAATTTTTTCAAACTGTAAATGTTCGGTTTCAAAAAAGTCCGCCTAATGTTTTTCTGGTTGTTTTTTTTTGTCTTGGTGGCCTTTTTTGGATTGAAACATAGTTTTTACGTGGTCTCCCCCGTCGGACGTGGTCTCCTAAAATTGAACGTTTTTATTCCGAACAATGAAAGAGTAAAGGAACTTAATATTCGAGTGTGTTTCAGTTTTTTTTCCATGCAAAATCAGCTATGTTAAAAAATCATCGGATAGAGTTAAGTGGTATACTTACATCATAGTACAACTCTTTCAGTCGTGATTCGAACGATTTATAAAATTTTCCTAAAAATCCTCTAAAAAGTCTTCCACTATCGAGAAAAGCTGGTTTGGAATTTTTTATTCAATTTTAGGCTCACACAACTTGATTTAACTGTCATCCAAACTGGTTTTGGATGTTTTTTTTCCAAGCATATTTGACTATAACGATTTTAAAAAAAAACTATTTTTCAAAAATTACGGAAAAAAAACTTTTTTGTTTGGTATTTGTTTTTTGAAAACAATTTCTTTCGATTATGCCTAATTCAATTTTTATTTATGCGATCCTATAGTTCTCGAATCACACTATTCACTAAAAGCAACACTAATCAGTAGAGAATTTAAAAATGTTTTTCCTATTATTTTTTATGAATATGATCAGAAAAATCTGTGCTGCTTGCACAGCAACCGGCTATCCTTTTTTCAATTTGTGTTTCGACTTAGTGGCGTTCGTTTCGTTTTTTGTCTGCTAGCTTTCAATGCTATGTTTTTGTGGTATCGCAAGTGGTGTCGCCTGTGTTAATTATACTGCCTCTCAAAAAATTAGCCCCACTCCTTGATCATTGATTTCGATTATACTACTTAGACACCTTTGATAATATTGAAGCTCCGATAACTGAGCAACGGAGAGTAGTTACTTCGCAAGGGAAGTAAAGCTTATCATTTACGTAGCAACTATTTTCGATTCCTAATTTGCGATTTTTTATCTTTCTGCAGCACAATTTTTATTGCTTTCATTAAGCGTATCTTTTTAAAAGCCTTGATTTTATTTGTAATTTTTTTTTCTTGGTATCTATTCTAAGCCTAATTTTTTCTGCCGTCAGAAGTTGTTGACCAGTGAAAAAAGTAAGACTGAGGCGCATAAAGTCCCATGTGAACAAATCACAAATTTGCGTACCGCGGATAGCATGCAAAGCTCCGCTTTACATCATTATGAGAAATATTCTTACAATTAAGTAAGCTCAAAAATTCTTTGTCTATCAAAGTGGATTATTTTAGTCATCAACAAAGTGAACATGGTGAGAAACACTCTACACCTGGAAACTATAGCAGATATCTCAGTTGACTACCATGCTGACAAGCTGGCTCAGAAGTTGTACCAGAAACTAGTCAAAGAAAAGGAAATTCACCTGATAGTGAAGTTCAGTGCTATTGGCTTGAAAAATACAGATCTCATCGGCCAATCCGATCCTTATTTGGAAGTCTGGACGCTCAAACCACAACTTTTGAGAAAAACAGAATGGCTTAGGAACAATTTGAACCCGAGTTGGAAGGTTTTTAGCATCACGCAAAGAACGTTTGCGCCAGACTGGAAGTTCCAAAACCTGGTGTTCAAGGTTTTTGACCGTGACCTTATCGGCAAGAATGATTTGATTGGTCAAGCAGAATGCAGCAGTAAGACTCTTTTGTGTGCTGCATTGCAGAAAAAGTCTCTCGTTTGGCGACTTTACGAGTTGTCAGTTACTGAGAACTCAGCTAAGGGAAACCCTGCTCAAGAGCTGACCGGAAGATTGAAATTGGATTTTGCATTTGCTAATAAAGATTTAGGTAAAATCGATCAAATTAAACATCTATCCGATGAGTCAGTTTTGTACCGTTCAATTGAAGATCGTGAATCTATTCGGTCCTCAGTGGGCGCTATCGACATCGATTCAATCTCAATTGGGAGTAACAAAATCGAGGAGGATGACAAACTTGCGAAATTGGACCAGTTGTCAGCGCTCAACTTCCCACAGACTAGAGGTCCAACTGGCACGACTAGAAGTGGAAGTGTTGCTGTAACGACTGTGCAGAAAAAAACCAAGTCGTTGGTAGGAGGGAGACGAGGAAGTGAAATGCCGTCATTGGAAGACGAGCTTGGGGCCTCGACTAGCTCGACTGAGTCTGACGAGATAAAACTTGAAGAAAAGCCTGTTGTTGATAAGGCATCCGAAAAACCAAACAATGGGGATCAGGAGGAGTTGGAACCAGAACGCGTTGTTGTTCCCAACGAAAGGAAGACAAGCAAAAGTGTGAGAATGTCCGTCGAGTTAATTAAGAAAATCAGCGTTACCACAGTCGAGTATACTGAAACTCGAAGCGAACAAAATGACGAGCAAAAAGATTTGCCAGGATTTGAGAAAGATAAAGAAGAACTGATGATCCGATTGTCGCAAGTCGGAAGCATCGCGGAGGAAAGTGGCGATGAAAACGAACAAGCTGATGAAAATGTTCAGAGTGAGAGCGCACCTGGATTGAGACTCGAACCAGTGGATGGTGACGACAGACGTAGGAAAATTTCGATATCTCCCAGCCGATCTGCCGATGTATCGCCCAGCAGAAGTGCAAACCACGTCATCATCGTCAAAGACGAAGGCGAGTGTGAGACTTCTGGCTTTGAGGATGGGTCGATCAACCGAGATTCCAATTCGAGTCACCAGCTTGCAATTGCAACCGAAGAAAGCTCTGATCAAAATGCTGCTGCGAAAGTGCAACAGGAAACAGATTCGAATCAATTTTCTCCTGGTGGCATGAGCTCCAATGAAGACTGCCCAGCAAAAGTCTCTCCAACCAATAGCTCAAACGAGAATGAAGCTGGATCAATTAACCCGAAAGACTCTATATCTGATGAGAAACTGCGGGATCAAAACCATTCGGAATCTCGCAAAGATAGCGATAAACCAGAGGATGCAAAAGAACAAGAAAATGTCGAAGTTAAATTGAACCGAGATGAAACAGTTGAAGTGGAGGACGAAGTTGAAATGGTCGAGAAGGCGGAAACTGAAATAGAATCAACTCCTAATTTTTCATTTTTATCAGATTTGGAAAATAAAGCTAAAGAGGACGAGGAAGCTATTAATGGCAGTAAAGACCCTGAAGTTATTTCTGCTGCCGAAAATCGAGGTAATGGTGAGACAGGCCCTATTGTGGAAAGCACCGTGGACTCAAACGAAAACGATCAAGCCAGTCCGGAGCCAAAGTTGGAAACATCTATAGAGGCCACTGGACGGCGTTTTGAGGCCAGTCTCGGATTAGAAGAAAGCGTTAGTATAGTTCATAGAGCAGAATCTGTCGAAGAAATTAACGAATCCGTTAGATTTGCGTCCAAGATGCGTTATGCCTCGGATGTTGATGAGAATGACGAACGAGAGTCTGACGAAAAGCCAGACGAAGATATTTCCGATGATCAGGAGGAAAAAGACCTGGATCGTTCTGACAAGAACGATTTGTCACGGGATGATAACAACGCGCACCAAGAGAGCAACCTGGATCAACCTTCTCCACAAGGTACTACTTATGATTCTCATGAAGCTGAACTGATAGCTGTGAAAGAATTAGTCGAAAAGATGGACGCGTCTTTTGCTGATTTCCCGCCGCCTATATCGAGCTCATTGCATCAGCCATCGCCAGATAAAGGCGAAAATAATCGAAGTGACGAACTGGAATCGCGTGAAGTAGAAGATAACCTTCAGCTAGATGGTGAGGCATCTGAAAAGTCAGCTGATGTTCTTGGAAAAAGCAACGAAAATAATGAGTGTGTCGAATCAGATCATTCAAATGAGAACGAAGCTGCAACTTCTAATCAAGACAATGAGAAGCATGAAACTCCCACAATGGCTGGAAAAGATTCGATTGCGAATGAAGCAAACTACTTCGAACAAGATTTTGGTTCCCAGACATCGAAGTCTACGAATAGCTCAAATGAAGACACTGAAAACTGTGCTAGTATTAAGTTTGAGCCGAGTTCGCCTACTTCATCTATTGCGCCCGAAGTTGGTTCAGTTGCAGGTAGGGACACCCCACTGATACAAAGCGCTGACTTCGAAAATTCCTGCAGCCATGACGATACAGGGTACCAAAGTAGAAAGAAGCTAAGTTTTGACATATCCCTAGAGGATACTGAGGTTTCAGAAGACGAGGTTCCTTCGAAACATCAAGAAGAAGTTCAGTTCGCTCCATCAGGTTTTGACAATGAAGAAACCTCCTCGCTGAATAATCACGACGCAAATTTGCATGATTCCCCTACAATCGTGGATCCTCTTAATGCGATAACTGACAATGAAACAAGCGCAATTCCGCAAGGAAAACCGGAAAAACCTGTCGTTAACGATGAAGGAAATGCATCACCTAGTACCGCAGAAGTTGACGATGAAGTCGACTCAGCGTATGTCAAACAAGAAAACACCGTTGAAAAGAACCTTTCAGTCCATAATTTTTTCGATGAAATTGACCGCGGATATGCAGAAACTGATGCCCTAAAAGATAATAGCAAGAAGTCTGGACCAAATGAAGTGTCAAAACCGGATCAAAATAGGGAAGACAGCGACGAAGAGGAAATAGGCGAGGATTGCATTGGCGCACAAGATGCATTACGGGAGGAATCCAGATTATTTCCAACCTTCTCAGATTTAGATCCAGAGCCTGAAAAGGTAGTTCATGAAAGAACCGATGCTTTTTCGACTGGAAAAGAACTTACAGAAAAACCAACGGATGGCGATATTTCATTATCAAATTCGGAACCCAATGCTCATTACGAAGAGTTAAGTTCAGAACTGGAGCGAAGCATTGAAAGTGACATTGAGAAGAAATCTGCTCAATCAGAAGATTTGGTTCATGAAAAGCAAACTGAAGAACCGCAGACAGCGAATGATCAAGATGATTCTAAGAACCAAAGCGTAGACCTTCTAAACTCTTCACTCGATGAAATATTTCTTGATTCCAAAAATCAAAAGCGCGGCAGCGATGATGTGACTAAAATCAGTGTTTCTATTAACGTCGACGTTTCCAGGAGCCGACCTAGTTCTCCTCAAGATCCCACACCGTATGTCCAAAAAGCGAGTCTAAGCAGTAGTATGGTAACTGAAGTCTCCAGCCCACCTGGAAAGTTAGAACCATTCAGTAAATATACCGCCAACTTCAGTTTCAACAAAGATGTGTTTGATGACTCTCCGCTGAGTGAACCCGTTTTGGAGCATAAAATCTTGCTGGAAAACGGCTCAAAGCTCAACTATGCGAGCCCAAAAATAGGAGAGTTCAAATCGGAGTCGAATGGATCTAGGAACAGAAAACGCGACAAAAGTAGCGTAACTTTTGCCGAAGGTAGTAAAGACGACGATGATTCTAATACACGAACTCCGACTTACTGGATTGTAATCATGGCCTGCATCGCTACATTCGGATTTACAACCCTTGTTTTATCTAGACTCAGATCATCTCAATCTTGAATCATTAAACTATTATGAATTTTCATGTTTTAATAATTAGATTTTTTTGTTATGAATATTAAAAATTGCTAAGTATTTTCAGATTTTGAATCTAAACATTATTGTAGTGCCTGAGATTTTTGGCTATATTTTAGCCAAGTAAAGAAACAAAGAAGAATTTTTCTGAATTTTTTTTAAACAGCCTCGAAGCTGTGGCAATTTTTGCGATTATGGCATTTTATCCTTTCAGCGTCATTTATGCTAAACTTTTTGCTAAACTATATTTCAGTTTTTGCGATAATGGCATTTTATCCTTTCAGCGTCATTTATGCTAAACTTTTTGCTAAACTATATTTCAATTTTTGCTAAACTATAAATTTTGGACTGCCATTATCAAATATTAGGTAAGAAAATTTAAGTCATATTAGAGAATTAAAATGATCGATGAGCTTGTTTCATTTCAGTTTGAAACGATTTTGAGTGCGAGATAAAATGCCGCGCATAAATTTTCTGCCAGACATAAATTTTTGTTCCGACTGTTTGAAAAATGGGGAAGAATTTTGTATTCGGGCGTGTTTTAATTTTTTTCCACGCAAAATCAGGTACGACCAGTTGCGAGAAAATTTTTAATTTTTGTTCTTCATTTGAGCAAATAAAGCGAGCGAGCAGGCTTGCAATTGTTTTTTTTACGAGCTTACAATATCTTGATTTAGGCCATGAAAACTTTGTTTTACTTGGATAAAATTAGTTCTTTTAAGTTTTTAGGAATCAAAAACTAATTATTGGATTTTCGTTTTTCCAGTGAATTTTCTACAAAATTTGTTGTCCAATTTACTGATTTTACTATTATTGTAGCATATGCCTAAGCTTTAGTTTTTCCTTCGGATTCTTTTATCTTGCCACACAGAAAAACGACGCTAGTTTGAAGAAACTTTGTAAATCTATCTATCTATATCTATACTATATTTAAATGCGAGTGACAGCTATCTCCCATGTTTAAGCATAATAATTTTGCATGTTCAACGAAAGAATTTTTTCATGTTTAAGCTATAGCATATATTGCAATGCTTAAGAAAATGTTTCAATTAGTTTTTCGCAAGGTCATTAATTTTTCAGTATTTTTTTGAGGCCAAATTAAGTCTGTCTGTCTGTCTGTATACCTGCTTTTTAAATTAATTTGATCATGTCTGTCTACCCGTCGCCTAATTTCTTAAATTTCATCTATTATCTATCTATCTATTATCTATTATATATTTAAATGCGGGATTCACTATCTTGCCATGTTTAAGCTTTTTCAACGTATTATTTTTGCATGTTTAACAAAAAAATATTTTCACGTTTAAGCTATATCGTATATTGCTATGGTTAAGTTTTTTTTCGATTTTCCTGTTTAAATTCAGTATTTATTTCATTCATTTTGAAATTAGCAACCTATTAGTGGGATATTGTTAGTTTTCTCTGGTTTTGCGATTCTGGCCTCCATATATGAATAAACAATTCTAGAAATTCAATTTTTAAATTTCAAGTAACAAAATAATTTACAAAACTTGAAATTCTCACCCTGTAGAAGTCAGGTCTTAAAAAAACGCATGGGATTGGGTTATTTTTATTTTTTTTGAGACGCTTTTGAATTTTTTTTTTTCATTTTTTGCAAAATTTTTACTTCGGTAGAAAACTACTCTTTCGGTTTTCAAAACAAAAGTTAACATTAAAAGGAACTTATGCTCATCTGTATGCCTGCATAATCTTCTATACTTTATCGTACTGTCTACAGCCTTCGAAAAAGTCTTTAGGGGGATTATTTGACCCAAATTTTTGAGTTTTTCCCCTTTTTAAATCAATTCTCCCAATTATGAGATTTTGGATTCATTGGATAGAATGGTTTGTTAAGTTTTTTCTGCATTTGCAGTCACGCCCATTTTTTTATACAACAAGTTATGGCCCTCGGAAAAGTTAAAATTGTGTTTTTTGACGGTTTTTTGAAATTATATATTCTTTTCTCGAAAACTACCCTGCTAATTCTTCGGTTAAGTGTTCAATCGAGAAACCCGACTTTGGAAATATTCTCTACATAAGCGGCAATGTCCATTTTTGCGGAAAATTTTATGGATTTCGAAAAAAATTTCTGAACGTTTGATCGTGCTTTAGATTATTTTTGACTTCTTAGAATCTACCTTATAAAATCTGAGATAAAGGGTTCAATCGAAAGAACTTTTTGCGATACTTTTTTCCTACAGAAGCGATGACTCTTCCAGTTTTTTGTAAGAAAAATGTAACATCTCATGGATGATTCCTTTTTCTCAAAACTTTTCAGTCTTTTCAATTATTTTATTGGAGAAACAACAAAGGTTGCTATACCCTTGCTTATCACTTGGGCAAAAAATCTTTTTATGATTTTCTCCGAAATTTTCTAAAAAACTAAAATGTTTAAAAATTCCAAAACTTTGAAGATCTCAATCCTGTTATTGGAATCTGCGAAGGTAATCTCATCTCAGAGGGTTGCGAATCTTTCCTCTGAATGTGGCTGCTCAAATTTTTGTAGTTTTCGAGATCTGACGTTTTTTAGGGTTTTTAAAATTTTTCAGAAAACTTAGGTATAAAAAGTTTCGCAAAACTTGAAATTCTCATATCTGTAGCGAGGCTCTGTTAGGATACTCTCAGGAGTTATGAATTTTGCCTCCAAAAAGACTGCTCAAAATCTTGCAGTTTTCCAGATATGACGTTTTTTGTGATTTTTTCAAAAAAATTTTTCATGAAAATTAAATTATTTTTTTTGAAAGTTTGAAAATCCTAACCTGTAGTTGGGGGATTGTCAGAGTAATCTCAGGGGTTGCAAGTTCTGCCTCCAATTAAGAATGCCCAAATCATTTTTGCTTAAGAGATACGACGATTTTTGTGATTTTTGGGAATTTTTCAGAAAACTCAAATTATCAAATAATTCGTTAAAGTGAAATTCCCAACCCTGTTGTTGTGTACTTTCAATGATTGCGAATATTGCCATCAAAATAGATTGCTCAAATTTTGGTATTTTTCGAGATGTGAATTTTTTCTGGTTTTCCTCCAGGAAAATTCCTCTTTTACAAAACTTAATGTGAAGTTTCTCAAAATTTGAATTTCCCAACGTTGTAGTTGGGTACTGTAAGAGTTGCAAATCTTGCGTCCAAATGCGGCTTCTCAATTGCTTTCAGTTTCCCAGATGTGACATTTCTTAGTAATTTTTGAATTTTTTGAAGAACTCCTATAAAACTTCACAAAATTTTATGGTTCTTCGAAATTTGTAAAAAAAAAACTTGACCAAAAAATTTTGCAAATTTTTTAATTACGAACCCTGTAATTGGGTGCTGTCAGAGCTCACTCGAAGAATAGTTTTTTGAGTTGTTGAAAGTTCGAAGCACCGGAGGTGCGGTACACGCTAGTCTATTTTTAAGACTATAGTCGAAACGTTCTGTGCTACTTGCACAGTAACCGACTATCCTTGTTAGCATTATAATTTCAGCATCATAGATGCAATCTTCCAAGCGGGCAGAATATTGGTGTTTTTTCTACTCCCAGAACGTCATGAAAAACGAAAGCATATAAAATTTATATTTAGATTTGAACTCACGGAGTCGGTATCTTCATTGCAACTGTAAAAATTCTCAGAAAATGTGATTTTTTCGAAGTGTTTTTTTTTTAAATTTCATAGCCCCATCAGCTATGTAAAGTATCAATTGATGTATGTTGCGTGTGATAACTGATTATTAAGAGCAAACTGCGTGTCTCTTTTCATTTTTGAAGAATTTAATTTTCCGCTTACTCTTTAGAAGAACAAAATATATTGCGCGTTAATGATTTTATTTTTCGTTTCAGTCGTTAAAATGGTCCCGTACGCTAATTATTCCAACTTAGAATATAACTGAAAATAATCACAGTCGAAATATTTTTTTAAGAATAATGAACGTAGTGAAGACTATATAGGTCTTGCTGATTTTTTTGTTTTTTTTTTCAGGAAAAAGTCCTAAATTATTGATGCAATTAGGTATAATGCACTTTTTGAGTTCAATTGAAATTCATCTGCTGAAAGTGACGTAATTAGCTTTCTCCAAATATGAACGTGGAAATGGTGCGAAAAATCGTTTCGAAAGTGGAATTTATTTTTAAGATTTCTCAGCGGAATGAAAACTTTTCCTAGTGATCCAGTTTTCTCAAGTTGGGTTCATGTTATCAAAACAGCGCCAATCATAAATTGTTCTAAAAATTCAACGAGCTTAAAGGGCATCTACTTTTTTCTTTGAAATTCGAAAGTGGAGATTTTTTCAAGAAAGTCTGTGTTTTTTTATGCTTGCATGCGTTCATTACTCTTTCCCAATCTTCGATTGGCTACGTTTACATTTGAATTCCGGAAAATCATATCTTTCACATGGTTTTAAAAACTTCTGTAGGAAATGCTTAGTCAAAATTTCGAGAATTGACCGAATAAAAAACACCCAAATTCGGAAAAATATCAGATTTTTTATATTTTCGAGTGTGTTTGAATCGAAGTACAAACTTACACCGTGGTGAAAATAATATTTGCAGTTAAATAGCTGATTCGGTTGCATTAGCGAAAGCAGTGTTAGAAGCGGTCAGACCAAGATATTAAACGACTGCGTCAACAATTTAAAGAAAGCTAAAGAAAAATGGAAAGTGATTTGAAATTTTGTGAAAAACGAAACCCATACTTTTTTGCATATTTGACGTAGCGATTCTGTTTTACAATAAAATTAGAATTAGAATTACAAATACAGGGTTGTTTTTAATCAGCATCGTTTGATTGCTCAACAAACTGGTTTTTGCGGAATTGTACGAAAAAAAAGTTAAATTTGCGTGGAACGAATATGGGAACAGCGGTGGAAAGAGATGAGCGAACAAGCGATTCATTATATCTCTAAATGCGTGATAGCTGAAGTAATTTCAAAAACTTACGTCGATACTCTTAATTACGTTATTTTTTATGTCTTGAGACTTGCGATTAGCAAGCTTAACAAATCGGAAGGTTGACTTTTTTCGGATAAATAATTTGTGTAATAGAATCACTGAATAGCTTGATTTATAATCAGTTCAATCTCATCGCATCAGTCTTAATTGCACATTGCCGCAGAGGTTAGGTCCATGCTGTGGACGACAAAGGTCTATGTTTCGAATCCAGTCACGATCTGTTTTTTGTAAACTGAGTATTTATGGGAGTTTCGTTTGTTTGCTTTTTATGTCTGATCGTTGGTGTTAGAAACTTTCTGTGCTGCTTGCGCAGTAGCAGACTCTTGTTGATATCCGGTTTTGTATATCTTTTATCCACAACTAGTCAAACCTGTTGATAGCAAATGCTAAAGCTGCTGCCGTACAGTTTTGGAAAAATTCTACTGAAATTACTCTTGCTGAATACGCTTGCAATTTTCAATATAATTAAAAGTGTAGGTTAATAATTTTTTCTGTGAACCTCCACGAATAACTAATGGCAATCTCTGATTTGTATGTCATTGAAAATTTTTTAATATTCCTTGAGTCAAATAAGACTTGAAGTTTCCCATATTTTAATCTCTATGTTCCGACCATCGAATGTGTAGAAAATTTTTCGGTGTTCTACAAATAAAATTAGGTTAATTTTAAATAATAGATAGCGTTGAAGGCTAAAATATGTTTTAAGAGATAAAACTAACAATTAATTTTCTAACTATTTTTGGCTTCATAATTTACGTTAAAATTCCGGGCGTTTTTCTTCAAATAAGCATTTTTATAGGATTTTTTTGCTTTTTTCGTTTGTGGATCTTTAGTTTTTTTTTAAATGGGCTTTCTGTTTTTTTCGTCTATATCTTTTGACTCCATTTTTATTGACATAGTGTCTGAATTTTTGTTAGCTTCAGGAAAATTCGATCAGACAAAAATAAAATAAACAAAATTGTCCTCGTCTGTTTTTGTTTTGAAAAATTTCAGTTTGCACTTGGCGAATGAGACATATGAGTGTGGTTGTTCACGTTCTTTCACGTTGTGCCATGAGTTTATTTGTTGTTTTTTGAAAATTTTTGGTTGCTGTCTTGTGCTTCTGCAAATCTAAACGACTGTTTTGACAACTAATTGTCCAGGATTTTTTTTGTTGTATTTTTGAGGCTAGCATATTCGCATTTTTTTTTCCAATTTGCTGATAGTGTTAAGCTGGGCGGATCTAGGGTTTTCTCGAGGGTGTGCGAATTTTGAGAAAAAAACAGGCAAGGAAACTGTTTACGAAATTCTGAATGTTGCAGAGTCCTGTTGTATCCCAAAAATTCCGGATGTTGATTTGATTTGTTTATTTCCAAGAATTTTCTTTTTAGCACAATTTTTTTGAAATCTTTTTGAATCACGATGCTTAACACAATAACATTTTTCTGAGGTTGTTTCTGATAATTTTTCTCTTTGGCATGAGAAAACATTGAATGGGGCCTTATAATTGGGTCAAACATCTCTAATGGTCCACGAAATTATTTCCATGAATTTGCTGTAAAATTGTGTTTTTCAGATAATTTTTGGTTGACATTTTAATGATATTTCAGTTGTTTTTTCTCTTTTCATTTCCCTGGTTTTTATTTTCCCGTAGCGTCAGCGTTGAAATGGCAAATTTCTGCTCAAAACTTAAAATTTATTTGATCTATGTGAAACTACCCATTCTCAAGCAACCATGTTGCCTACTCAAGAATCTCTAGAAAAAGTTTCCTTCTTTTATCTAAATGCAACTATGTGAGTGCGACTTTTTTTCCAAGAAATGTTACTCTTCTGCGTTAAGATTGGTCGAATGACCTTCTCGACAGTTTCTTCTACTTTTAAAAAGCTGTTTTTAAAGATGTTCAGAAAAATGTCGAATTTAATGTATATTATAGCCAGGGGAGGATTGAGAACTTTCTCAAGGAGTGAAAGCCTTTGATTTTAAAAAAATTGCTTGCTCCTTAACACCTCTCGAACCGTTCATTTTTACAATAAATTAGAGAGGAAGCGGCTTTTTAAAAAAATCATGGTTTTTTGAACGAAGATAAATATTACTTAAATAGTACCAAGGAAGGGGCTCTTAAAGTTAAATAGTACCAAAGAAGGGACTCGATTGAATTTCTGAGAGGGGCGTCAGCGCTTTCCTAAGTCAGCCACTGATTGAAGCCAAAAGAAAAATTTATTATCTTTTGAGCTTGAATTTGAAGTTGAAAAATCTTTTTAAAGCTATGCAAATGTTTTATGTACAAAAATATTGAAACCATGAAATATTTTAAGCTGAGTTAGTTTATTTTTTCCCATCTTTGAGATTCTGCGTCGACTTCAGTCTAATGGGCTTTGCCTGAAACATAGAATCATTTGTATTTTGTAACCCTTAAACGAATGCTCAATCGCATTGTCGTACTCCTCTCCGTCTTTTTAGGCCGATCAAACTTGATTGTTTTGCAATGCTTGAAATCTTATTCTGAGTTAAGCGCAATATCACTGATACATTTTTGAAATATGTATGCCTTGTTTATATGGGGCTATGGTGTTAACTTGCTCGGAGTATTTGTAAAATTTTAGGTGTATTTTTTGAAATTTTTGATTCCTTATAAAGTTGTCCTCACCAATTTTGGACTGGAAGCACCTTGTTTTGAGTGCAGCACAGACAGCTCCATGCTCTTGGGTCGGTTTCTCTTCAGCTGTTTCGATTGCTCTTCCGAACTGGCTAGACTGGAAGATGATCCCGCGATCGATGCCGCTTTGGAGACGTCGATGATCGATTGCGACTGGATCAGTTTTTGTAGCTTCATGTCTGTAAAAAGAAATAAAATATTTACAATTTTTAGTTGAAATCCATTATTCAAGCTGGCAGATGAAAATTTTTGCTAACAGTAAAAGTTTATTATCGGCTAATTTTTTATTGCAGTAAAAGAATTTCAAATATTATTTTTTTGTTAGTCTCACTCAGCAGAGCGCATGAAAACTGACCTGGTTGAGAAATTGATCTCGGACATTAAGTTGCTGAAAAAATGAACTTACCAATAGTGTCCTTGATATCATCCAGGTCCTGTTTGATCCTGTCCAGTCTGCTAAAGATACCAGAGCTGCTCTGCGTCTCGTTTCCTTCTGTAAATTCTTTCAGTCGTGCGATGTGAGTGTCTACTTTCTGCAACCATGAGTTGCACTCCTTCTCCAGTTTCTAAATAGAAGTGATTCCAATTCCCTATGAGATTTGAATAGCAACAAAGGACAGCTAAAAGTATTTATACAACTAATTGTTGCACTGTTCTGACTTTCCATGTCTCGGGGTATTTAGGGCTTCGCCCGCGTTTGAGAGTCTTGTATCAATTTGCTTTAACAAAACGAAAAATGTTTGACTGAGGTATTATATCGACAAGTGTTGTGCTTTTTTGACTGCCTCGTGAGAAAACGTAGTCAACGTGCAGTTTGAAAAGGGTCGAGGATGACTCTTTTTCAAACCTTTTTCAACGTTTTTTTAAATAATTTATTATAATTCCAATCCAATTTTTTCACGTCAGATTTTTTGCTTCATATTTGCATTTTTAATTGGAGAGCTTAAGTTGACTTCTTTTTGTCACATGAATTTGAGCAGAACGTTAAAAGATATCAAAAGTCAAGCTGCAAAATGTTGAAATTGAACGTAAGCTAATTTTTAGAATTTTTCCTGAAAAAAATTTCAATAAGTTAAAAAGAAATTTTAACAACCAGTGCTAAGTTTTTAAAAATTATCTGCATATAAGAATAAGAAAACTGCTCAGTTGCGTCTCTAATTATGGAATAAATTGGGATTAATTTACCTAGAAATTTTGCTAAATAAGATTTAACCAAAAAGGCCTACCTGTTCTTAGATAACTTCGTTTCGAGCAATGAAGATCTGAACAACATAATATACAGCTTGGAAATGTATAATAACATCTCAACAGTTTGGTTGTAGTTTTTTTCTTATTATTTCTTCGTTTCTTAAGAAAGCTCGAACCTTTTTGAGTTTTTATTAGTTTTGCTGGATACTGATAAAAATACTGATGAAAATAAGATTTAGGGTCTTAAGAAAACAATTTAATTTTTTCGCTCAAAGAAATCTGAAAATAGACCAGAAATTTTCTTGACTGTCTCTCAAGCTATAATTTAATGGTTGTAAATGATTTATAACCATCATTATTGGTATATTAGCTTAAAAAAATAGTTTTAAGATTCAAATAAGCGTATTCATTAAGTTCACCGTTTTTTAGAATTTGTTTACTAAATGCAGAGAAGCTTTATTAGGTTCTAATCCCACTACGACCTATTTTTTGTCCAAGTTAAAAATTTCAGTTTCAAAAAATTTTGGACCTTAAGTTTGTCTCCTTACGTTATAGTGGGTTGGTTGCTGCATAAACCAACTTTTTGCCCTTAGCAATTTTCATTGTAACTTGGAAAGTATTTTTCATTCATTTCTGTATTTTGTATTTTTTTTTAACTTTCTATAAGTTCTCATAATTTTGTTTTGCTTAAAATCTTCATTTGCCCTAAATGGTCATGGCATACGTTTCGTTAGTTTAGTGATCTAATTTTGCATTTTTGAAAGAAAAATAGAGTGTTAATTTTTTTTGTGTTACCAAAGGGGGATAAACGTAAAATTTTTAAATGTCAGAAATTGAAACTTTTTGTTTTCGGCTCAATGGACGTTTACTAAAATGTAGTCAGCTTATTTGCCGTCCGTTAAATGTTTCTGAATACTTTTAAAGCCGGCGGTTGTATTGCTGGACTTTTTTGCCTCAAATGGAACATCAAAAAATTAAAAAATTTTTACAGAACCTTTGTAATTTTTTATGGAAAATTTTACAGATGAGGTTAGTTTGACAATTTCTTCCGACTCAAAGGTTTTATTTCATCTGTTATCTGCGAGTTTGCAATGCTATGTTCACTTGGTATCGCGGATGAAGCGAAACTCCACTTCGCCTCCGTGTTAGACTAATCGGAGATATAGTTAAAAGATGAGTCTTACGAGGCCTAGGTGTGCACTTCTTGCTAAGCATACTTCTGTGCTTGTAAGTACGCGGATTATGTGTGCAGGCCTTGAAGATTCATAAAGTGATTTTCCTGTTTTGACGAACCTTAGTGACCCTTCCTTGAGTGTCGACTGTGTTGGTGTCCAGATGGAGATTGGACAGACTCTTCACCCTCTCTCTGCTACTCCTCATCCACTGACTCACTCCGTCTATGAATTCACGCGCACTTTCAAACCCCTCTCTTGCGGCCTCAAACTGCCTCTGTTTTGAGTCAAATCTGAAAGAAGAGAATCGGCTTTTACGCCACGATTTTGTCAAAAATAAAATTACTGATTAATAAAATGACTGAATAAATGAACAAGTCAATAATTATTTCCAAATTTTTTTAATAAATAATTATTTTGAACAAGGGTAATCAGTTGCTGATGTAAGTATCACAAACTTTACCGATCGAAGCTACTATCGCAAAACAATTTAAAACAAAAAGAAAAGAAAACAAGGATAGCCTTTTATTGTGGAAGTAGCACAGAATGTTCCGACCATAAAATACAATTTTTCTTTCTTTTTTTTCTAGAACTTAAGCATAATCGACAGTCATAAAAAATAAGCAAGTTGGAAAACAGTTTTAGCAGAACAATGAATAGAAAAATGAAACCACAATTGTTAAAAAAAAACATTTTTTTTTTTTTCAAATTTTTTTACAGATTTTTTTCGAACTTTGAAAAAAAAACTTGAATTTTTGATTCCACAAATGGCGCAAACAATCTCCAAAAACTAGCTTTACTAAGTTAAGTTTTCACAGCTTAAATAAAGCATGATTAAGCTAATTGAAACCCTATTTTAAGCTTTCTCCCTCACCTAATTCACACGAAATTAGAATTAAAATCAAAAATGTTTAACGAGTTTTTCTCGACACTGAGAACTTTTTGCAATTTTCTAAAGTTTCGCTCAAATCACGACTAAAAAGGCTTTAGTATGATGCATCACTCGGCTTTCTGTGATAGCTATTTGTGGAATCTGATTTAGCGTGGAAAACAAAAAATGAAGAAAAAACTAAAACACACCCAAATACAAAGTTCTTCCCAATTTTTCAAATGGTCGGAACAATTAAAAAATTGAAATTTATAGTCTTCTCAAAAGGAATTGATTGACGAAAAACAAAAAGTTTAGACCAGAGCTTAATTTTTAACACAGAAGCGAAGCTGCGCTTCGCAAACACTTGCGAAAACACGATCAAAAAGCAGCTCTGTCAAGTGAAATAAGAGAAAGTAGAAATAAGCCTCGAATTAGCAATAACTCGGCTATGTGTAAGATTCGAATATGCGACCTACTGCAATCAAGATATTTTGAGTTCTACGCAGCATCCACTCAGCCACGCAAGCTTAACAACCGATAAACACCCGACACAAATAAAGCAGCTACTTATGCCAATAAATTGCCAATTCAATTCACCAAAACTGCCACCAAATACAAATCGACTCAATTTTGCAACTAATAATTTAGAATATAACAAACTGAAGGCATCCACACTAACTTTACATGTTACAAATCGCAAAGCATAAATCTACATTATGTATAATTTATTCATTTCAAAAAGTTGCGACATATATTGAGTTAGAAAGTTTCTGAAATCGAGTTTTCATGATTGTTATGTTTGAAACAAATAGTTTTTTTTGTGTTCATTTGATGAAATAAAAATGCATCAACTGTGTTAACTTATTACTATTCGAATATCAAAGCGCATGCTATGAAAAACCTGTAAAGGTGCCCCAAAAAATGGAAAAAAGGGGAAAAAGAAGGTTCGTACTAATACACTCGCTTGGCAAGTTTAAAAATATGTATTCGAATCAAGATCAATGTTGCGTTAATATAATACCACACTCTTGCTGGCTTTCCTTGAAGTAACTAAAATTGAGCAGAAAAAAAAACAGCCCTATACGCCTTAAAGTGGTCGGATCAAAAAATATCTGAACAATTGATCAGTCACCGGCGAGATTGCTATACTAATAACTAGCCTATTGCAGCTGAAGTTTCTTTTGAAGTGGTTTGTATAAAATTTTTTCTCGAAAATCCTGATGAAATTTCATAATACGTTTTGAGTCAAGTGTAAGCACAATTGGGTGTATTTCAATTTCCAAGCTTTGAGGCTTTATTTTTGTTTAAGCGCGCCATTTATATGTTTCGCTAGTTAGAAAACTTGCTGTATCAACTAGAGAAAAAAATATGGTACGGTATCTTTGATGCGCATCTCAAAAAGCTCCGAATGAATCTTCGAACTTACTGCTCTTCCAAATCGCACCATCTTCGTTCAAATTCTGTTCGTTTAGCTGTTGACTCCTCTCTATTCAAATTAGCACCAATAGCAGTCAAATTCTGCAACATCTGCATGCGGATTTTAGCCACTTTCATCTCCAATGAAAAGCAGTTCAAACTCAGGTCTCCTTGCTCAAATCCTGCTTTGGTGAAAGTGCTCGGAGCAGTCTGTGATTCCAGTGAGCTCATCATGGTTGACAAATTAGAGTCCACTGCAGTTTGAAGAGAGTTTAGATTCTGCTCAATTTGTGAAATGTATTCAACTGCTTTCGATCTCTCTGTAAAGCCCGCTTCCATCTTTATGAAGTCTTCGACTGAAATTCAATATTTAATTTATCTCACTGGAAAATGGCTCAGGTTATATGTCAATCATATTTTGTTATAAAAAGGCATTTTGCACTAATGTTATGAGGAAATTTGGAAGCATTAATTTACGCCGGAGGGGCACCCTTAGAAAAATTTTCAGACCGATTGTTTTTTAAAAAGTTGTGCGAAAAAAAAGGTACGCGAAAAGAAACATCTAATCTTCGATAGAAAAAGGATAGCAGGACTGACAAATTGTATTTTTAAACCTAAATCTGTTTTTTTTCTTCGTTTTTTGCCCTGTATCGCACTGCTTTTCTAAATGTTCCCGAGGCATTTGGTTAAAAGAAACGTTTCAACTAGCGCACTTCTTGTTACAATCGTATCAAATGCATTTACTTTTTTTGAAATATGATATGGTCAGTTGCTTCTCAACTCTGGTGACGTCGAATGTCGTTGCCAATTGGATCATGTAATTTCCCAAGCTGTTCAAAATGGAGTTTGATTTTTTAACTGCTTCCGTCATTTTGGCATTGTTCTCCTCATTATCTGCTTTAGAGTTCAATTCATTGATTTCATCTAGCATTTTCAGAATTTCATCCAGACTTGCGTGACTGTTTGTTTTCTGAAATCATAAAAATTTGTGTAATCGGTGACTTGAATTTTCTGTTAATATCTGGGTAATTTTTATCTATGTTGTCTTTTAGGTTTCAACTCATTGTGGATAGAGAAATAATAGTTTTTCGATAATTTTTTTACAACAAACGGCCCGAAAATTTACTCTTGTGCTTAGATTCTTTTTGTTTCAACTATTGAAAATGGGGAGCAACTTTGGTGTGTTTTGTTTTTCTTTTTTTTTTATTTTCAACAAAAAATTAGGTACACAATTAGTCATTGGAAGGGGTCGAATATTATATCATACTTAAGTTCTTTCAGGTAGTTTTTTTCGGAGTTGAGAAAAACTAGTTTGAATTTTTTCAGCTTCTTTCTAATTCTGTGTGGGTAAAGCGATCGAATAACGTTCGTTATCTCAAAAATTTAGGCTAAAAAAGTTAGTTTTTTTGAAACAAAAACTAGTTAGCGCTTCATAGGCAAAAATTTGGCTTACTTTAGCCTTACCTAGGCAAAAAAAATTCCAACTTATTTTAAAATTATGTGAAACAAGATTTTGAAAAAGTTTTTGCCGTTTTTTCTTCTCGAAACCTACCCTGAAAGATCGGAAATTTGGAATTCAATCGGAAAAACAGGTTATGAAAATTTTTCCGGTATAATTGGTTTTGCAGGTCACGAGTTTGATTGAAATAATATGCTGCAGGAAAAGCCCACTACCCTGTTCAATTTCATTTCAAGTTCATATGTAAGAACGTGTAGCAGGTATCTACCCTACACTCGCTGCTAATCGCTTATTTTAGTACAGAAACCAATACGGTTTCGGGTTTTTGAAAAAAAACTCATTCTGTCTACGAATTTAGTCACTAATAATGCGTAGTTTTAACGGCGAATTATCAAATAGCTTTGATAGCTTGAAGTTTTTTTATGGCTAGTTTCCTTTTGGGCTTAATGAGGGTCAAATGAGTTCTATTTGGCGCATTGACTTCTTTCGCCTTAGCTGACGCACGTTTTTTTGATTCTGTTTATGAACATCGTCCGAGCCAAAGATATGAATTTTTTGTAGATAGTTTTTTTCGAAAACTTTTTTAGCTTAATTTTTCAGAAGCAATTTTTCCTTCTTTTTCTAACATTGTCTTGTATCGCAAATGTTGAGAAGTTCCGGTTTGTCTCTGTTTAAAAATTGGGAAAGCAGGTGTCTTTTTGTCGGGAGTTAGACATTTTAAAAGAATTTTTAAAAAGTTTTTTTTTTGTTTGTCTGCTCAAGTTTTGTCGATTTAGTAGCCACATCTCGCATTTTGTTTGTACTCTACCTGCAAGCATTGTTTAAGGTAATTTCAGCTGAGAATTAAAAAAACTTTTTCTTTCATATAAAAATTTCGAACTTTGTAAGCATTTTTCATTGAAGTTGCAAGTGCAAAGGTTGTTCGATGTAATTTCTTTGGGGACTTGAAGAATTTCATTCTTTTTAATTAAATTTTTTTTCGGCAACATTTGTGTCTGCTCAAAGATTGTTGGCTTTGTTTTCTCTTCGTAAGTTTTGTTCTGTTGCTATGTTGACATTCAAATTATGGCATCCTTGCGTAAAATGAGACATGTTTTTCCGAAAATTTTGATTTTAGTAGACTTAGTGTTTTTGAACATTTTTCGTTTTTTGCCTTGTTAGGTTTGTCTTTTATCGCAAGTGATGCGAAGCTCCGCTTTGCTGTGTGTGCGTGAAATTATTTCTATTCAGCAAAATTTTTTATCTATTAAGAAGAACGGATAACCGGTAGCTGCGCGAATAGTCGTTTGCTCCGAACACAACAAAGAAAAAAACTTTAAAAAATATACTCAGAAACTTAAACTCAGAAAAAAAACTAGAATTTAGACAGATCCGAGAGGAAAGTTTAAATTAGGTGTATTTAAAAAATGCAAGAAAAAACAAATACAAAAATTAATTTTTGCAGAAATCTTTTCTTGAAATCTATTCAGAAGAATGCGCTAAAACAAGCTTCGAAAACTAATTCTACTGGATTGAAAAAAAAATCCGCGGCTTAACGTTTTTATAAGGCTATTATAAGCTTATCATATGACCTCCGTTACATTAATGCTTGAAGTTAGACTAAACCTCAAAAACTTCAAACCAATTTTTTTCGACACTGGAAAAAACGAATCGCGACTGAAACCGATTCAATATAAATTATTTTTTGACTCTTTTCGATGATTGTTTTTAGTATTGATTTCGCGTAGCAAAAAAATTAAAACACATTCGAAGACAATTTTCCTCCATAATTTCATTGCTGGGAACAAAAATGATCATGATCTTGGTGTCTTTTATAAAATCGAATGGTTGCTGGTTTTTAATAAAGCAGCAAAATTTTAGATGGTTTTTTGCTTGCGACGCTTGTTTCATATTACGAGGCTTTTTTGTGCAGTATATTGCATGTTTAGCGCAACTCATCATACTTAGTGTCAAAAAATTTCACTTTAGTAAGCCTGAAAACTTCAGCTACACTATTTGAAAAACTTACGGTACATTATCTTCAATTTCGAATTTAAAAAACAAACGCATGCTAAAACTAGTTTATGTGGTTCTTGCTCAACTACCGGTTAAATTTTGTGTTAAATGTTCCATTTCTTGGAAAAAAAAGACAAAATAATTGAGCTATTTAATTTTTAATTTTTTTCTTTGGTTAATTTTCAATTCTTTAAACAAGAATTCTCTAAATGTTTTTGACAGTATGCTTATAGCAGCATAAGCAAATTGTTGACCTGTGTTCAGTTAGAACAATAAATTACGAGATTTTTCCGACCTTCAAAATAGTGACGTAATTTTTATGCTCAGGGTAGTGTTTATGCTAGAGCAATTTCGGTTTTTACTTAAACGAAAGTTTGTTGCCAACTAAAAATGCGAAATATATTTTTCCGCGTAGCAATTTTGTCGAATAAATCTGGCTCAAAAACTATTCCAAATTGAATTGAGGCTTGCTGATTGTTCCAAATAATGTGTTAGTAGATGCGAAATATTTTTATTTTGTGTCTTACATAGGATATTTGAAGTTTTTTAAAATGATTGTTTAATGTTTTTATTTGAAATTTCTGTCGACATGTTAAACAAACTTTGCTTCCGAAATTTTAAATACTATTGAGAACATTCAGGACTTGTTCAAAATTCAACTGTCTTGTTAAACGGCGTTTTTTAATTGCCAATTTGACCAATATGTCATAATTTTAACACCTCATCTTTCCAATATTTTATAACGAGCAAGCTTCAAAACAACGCGTCCTCGAAATCCTTCCAAATTGAATTTTAAAATGTCAATTACTATGTTAATGTGTTTCTAGACGTGAAATTAAATCACCTTGTGCGTTATGTGTTTGAGAATTTCGAAAAAGATAAATATTTACCAGAGACAACTTCAGACACGTTAAAAGCAGTCCGAACATTTACGTCTCCTGTTTGATATGCGCAGTCTTGCTCTCGTTTTTAAAGAAAGTAAAGGAATTTTTTGAAATTCGGTGCAGATTTTGACAATTTTTTTAACATTTGATATTTGATTGGAACTTTTATCAAATCAATTTTAAATTTAGCTCGAATAAAAAGTTATTGTTCCGACTTTCAAAGAAAGTGCGGAATATTTATGTTTGAGGTGGTTTTTTGTTCAGTTATTAATCGAGTTAAACTAAGCCTTTTTCTGACAAATTTTTGCACCATCTGAGAGATATTGTTGTCCTGAGCTGAAATTCAAAAGATATTTCACCTGTGATTCTTTTTTCGTAAAGTTATTGCGCGATATATTGCATTCTTATAAGACGCATGAGCGGCTAATTAATGCATTCCAAATTGAATTGAGACCAGTAATTTATTCTTCCGATAACAATACGAAACGTTTAACATTCCCTCTGTTTTTCTACATATTGTGTGCGGGGATAAAAGGAGGAAACAGTGAAAAAAAAAACGTTTTTCTTCATTTTTATCAATTACTTTGTCAATTGTTCAAGCAAAAACTTTTAAAATTGGCCTTAAAGTGCAACTGGAACCCTGAGATACGACCTGTTTTCAATTTGTGGTGATTTTTTGTGAAACTCTGCATTTTGAAAATTGGCCAAGGTTTCCTGTTTTCTAGTTTTAATACTTATGTGGCGATTTATTCCGGCTTGGAAATCATCTCAAAATGAAATAAAGCACTTTTTTGGTTGAGGGGGTTTTCCACAACAATATTTTTTTTTTGAATTTTTTATCAAATTTTTATACCAAAAGCTACTGCACTGCCGACAGAGGGAGAGTATGATCATTCAGGGTTTCACAACAATACGAGTAATTTTGTTTGGCTTCAATTTAAATTCTTTTAAAATTTGGGAAAATTTTATAGAATCGATGTGCAGCTAACTTCACTCCTGGACACATGGTTTCACCATGTAGATTTTCTTGAATATATTTTGGCTAAGTTGCATCATTTTTAATGGCAGAACTTTGTGTACTTCAAAAAATGAAGATGTTCGAAAAAAAACATGAAACTGTTTGAAATAATATGAAACAGATTACCATTTCTTTGGCACTGTTGGCTCTATTCATCTTCGTCTGCACTGATATTTTCATTTTCTTCAGTATTTCATTTAACTGCTTCGGATGGCTACTGAATGTGACTGTGTTCCAAGATTCGGATTCCAGCTGTTTTAGTGTAGTAGTGATGTTTTCATTCGTTTTCATCAATTCTGATGATTTCACGATGTTCTTCTCAATCTCCGAAACAAGCATCTAAAATTAGTGAAATATTTCAAAAAATTTATTCAAGCTATTTAAGCAGTTTTTTGGGTTTATACCTCCATGTTTTCTTTCTGCGCAGTTAAACAGTCGATGCCAATTTTCTGCAATATATCACCCAAACCGTGACTCAATGTTGCTTCCGTGTTGACTATTTCCAGCATCGCTTCACGTACCACTTTAAGGGTTCCAATTCTGAAAAAATATATATCACAAAATCTCATACAAATAAGTTTCATTAAAAAAATTTGAATAACTGTGTGTTTTTGTAACATAGTATGATATTTCTAATAGAGATCTAATCACCTTGTGGCGTATCGGTTGCAGAAATTTTCGGCGCTGGCCATTTTTTGTTGCACAAGACTCCAGAATGACTCAACACTCTCTGGTGAGCAGGCAGTCAAATGCGTTGCTGATGTTTCTCGGAAAGAAATCAACTCGCCTATAACTTCTTGCAACTCAACGAGGAGTTTTTCCGTTTCCTATAATGCATGAAGCACATAATGTGTGAAGTTGTTTCCTAATAGAAATTCATGAATTTGGTTATCATATATGGAGTTCTTTGTTACCATGCCAATTTTTCGTACGAAAGAAAAACGCGGTTAAAAAAGTCTCATATGTCAAAGTTAAGAGGTGGGTGAAAAGGAAAAAGCCGGGAAGTTCTGATTCGAATAAATTTCTAAATGGTACCTCTAAGTTTTGACTTCTCTGTAGCAACGCTCGGTCAACATTTAGGGTCGTATTCATTAGGATTTCATCCAACATCTCGATGCTGTGAGTCAATGTTCGGATTCTGCTAGTTGACTTCGCAACAATATTCAACTGTTCAAGTAGAATTCGGATTTTACCCTCTAAATTTTCCGTGTTTTGTTTCGTGGTTTCGTAATTTTCGTTTTCGTTAAAGCATTCGAGTTCAATCTTCATTACCTAAAACAAAGTCGATATTTAGCTAGTTTTGCGACCACCCATATATTGATTTTGAGGGGTGAGCGATTGCCCAACAAGCGTATTTTTGGGTCAAAGTGTGTCAAGCAGATCCAAAAACATTAAAAGACACAAGTGTGATGAAATCAAGTCTCACATTTTTGCCTTTAATAGTAAGAGAGTGAATTCACGTACAAGCCTTACAACATGCCTGAGAACACTCGAATTAAAGCGCTATCTCAAGTACAAAGGGATATATTTTGCATATAGCAAAGTATTAAATTGACCTAAGAGCATGTCTCAATCCAATTTGGAACGATTTATAGGACGGATTAAATTTCCGCCAACGCGTTAATAGCACAAAAAAAACGCGGGTACAGCAATACATTTCGAATGATATTTAAAAAGTCCGTCAAATATTATTAGTTTTAAAACCTCAATTTCAAAACATCAATGAACAGTAGATTGAGCAGCCGAAATATTTCCAAGTCTTCAATGGAATCCACCAACCAATTGAAAAAACTGTACTAATAGTTTTGACTTTCGAAGAAAGTGACGGAATATTTGTGCTCGGAGTGGATTTTGGATCCAGACGAAATTCGATTTTCTATTTAGCAGGTTTTAATGGTTTTTGAAACCATTCGAAAAGTATTGATGTCTGAGCTCAAATTTAAAAGATATATAAACATTGGCAATATGGCCAATTTTGAACTATTAACGCGCGATACATTTTGCGCTATTAACGCGTAAGTGGAGATTTAATCCGTCGTACAAATCATTCGAAATTGATTAAAGCAGGCTATTGGTCACAAGTTCTACGTTACTAGAAGTGCAATCTATCACTTTGTACTTTATATGGCTTGAGGGGGATGGTTTTAAATAATTTTTAAAAATATTTCAATTTGTCTTCATTTTAAAGATGTTTTCATTAAAGAAAAATTCATCAATATTTTACAGCAAACACTGCTTCATAGAGCTTGAGAGGCAGTCGGAATATGAGCAGTCTTCGCACTGATATGAGCAGTCTTGTTTGTTTTAATTTGAAATTCAGTGTAAACAAATTTTTCAATGTGACAACTTAAAGAGTGTCCCTTGTGTTCCACGTTATATATTATGGCTGAAAAAAATAATAAGAGCAAGTTAATACATTTCAAATTAATTTGGTCCGCTTTTTGTTCCGAATTCCAAAAAATTGGCAGATTGTTTACGCTTGTTAAGTTTTTCTCCAGACGAACTTCGAGTTGTTGTAAGCTAGCCTATTTGACGGAATGTTTATATCATCTGAACGATATTGCTGTCCTTAGCTCAAAATCAGAAATGTATTTTACGTGCTTCCATTTTGGGTAAAGTTATGGGGGTTTCAATATTGCCAATTTTGTAAGTTTGGGATAGCTAACGCGCGAATTCGCCACTAACGCTTAACCTTTTGCTTAACTGTTAGTAGCGAAGTAAATCTTTCAAATTCAAGTCAGATAGGCATTTTGTTTTTAACGCTATGATACTTGACACAAATGTAATACTTTGTAGTAGCGTATTAGGGATAAATGCTAAAAACTGCTTCCGTTTTTTGGACTCGAATTTTATCGTAGTGCATTCCACTGCAGAGTGCACAAGCATCTGTTTGTGAGCTTCGAATAATGTAAGTCGATTTCACTAAAAGACCAAATTCTAGATTTCTTCCGCACCTTAATATTTTAAAGTTTACTTTAAGTTGAAATTCGGCCCCGCTTCAGTCAAGAAATTCGAAAATCCGCCTCTCTCAGTGCAATAAATTTTTCTATTTTTTTTTGGAAGAAGAAAGGCTATTTCATCGACGTTATATCTCGTCCTAAATATGTGTTTGCTAAAAAAGTATCCTAATTTATCAAGAATCTAACCTGAATTTTTGATAGAATAGATACTAAATAGTCCCAGTTCAGCGTCATAGTCCCCCAAGATTGCATCTTGTTTTTCCACATCGTCATGAATGAGTTCGACCTGACCTTTTTCTCATCTTCGGTCAAATCTCCAATCACCGTTGCTTTAGTTTGAGAAAACAGCCTCTGAACCCTTGTTTTCACCTTTTGCAGCTTTGATTTGACTGCCTTGGCTAATACTTTAACCTCTGTTGTTGCATCAGTGAACATGCTACTTTCTAGTTCGAGATAAATTTTCTCGAGATTTGTTAAGATTTCTTTCAATGAGTGCAAAATATCTTCTTTTGACTCGGGTGGATCTGAGATCAAATCTTTGTAAGAAGAGTCCAATGATTCCATGTTGTTACGATGCTCAGTCAGTAAATCTAGAATCTCTTTTTCAACCAAATCTTCGAAGTTTTGTTTCAGCACCTTTTTCAACCCGTTTTCAAGTAGCTCGATCTTTGTTTCCAGTTCGCTGTAGAACGGACTCAAAATTTTTGCCAAACTTATTTTGTCCAGAACTGGTAAAAACTTCTGCTCGATAGAGTTAAGTGTTTCGATACAACTCTCCACTAATTTTTGTGACATATTAAAAGCGACTTTATCAACTTGATTATTCAGGAGTTTCTCGATCTGTTTAAAATTCAACCCGATCGTCTTGAGGGGTGATTGTGTTTTTATCAGATCACTTTGCTTGCAGTGCAAAAAGTTGCTCGTCTTTTCTATTTCTTCCTTAAAGTTTGAAATTGTCTCTCCGAAGTTTGCATTGAGGGTTTTCAAAATCGGATGCAGCTCGTACTTTGCTATATCTTCGGACCAATTTTTTAACTCATCCGCGATTCTCAAAATGTTCTCGGAATTGTTGATTTTTGTCTGAAATTAAAGAGGCGTGAAAATCAAAAACTACTATTCTCTAAGTGATAGAAAATGTTATGTTACCGATAGTATGTCAGAGACATCTTCAAAAGAATCTCGTCCATAGATCCAAAATGTGTCGAGAGGGTTTTTCTCGTTCCAAGCTGATACTTCCGATAGTTCAGCCAGTTTTACTTGGATTTCCGTCAAAAACGGACCCTGAAAACACAGATCGGCGATCATGGCCAATTTTAGAGACACTTTTAAAAAAAAAAAACTGGAAATTTTGCTACGTTTAGTCAAGCTTCGATTTTGACTTGCTTGTAAAAAAAAGACAGTTGAGCTTTAATTAAAATGGAACCGAAAAATAACCATAAATGCACGAAAGTGTCTTAATTAGTGTTGCAGCAGCGGTTTTCTGCAAAGAGCTGAACAGTTTGTAGTTCGTATGCTGGTCGTTTCCCCCGTGGATAAATATTGTTTATTATTTTCCTTTAAAGCTTACGTCTTTGTTTTCCGCGATGGTCGAGGTGCTTTTCTTTTTCTTAAACTGCCCAGCCGTCTCTTTGTTATTCTGCTGATTCAGTTTGCGTTTGTGCACATCTAGTTTTCTCTGCATCTCCTGCAGTTTGCTCCTTATCTTCTGTGCACTTTCAGTTGGAATCAGAGTAGCGTGTTTCTGCAGGAATGATGACGCGAACTGTTTGATCTCATCGGCTACTCTGATTTCCGACTCTAGATTGAGTGATTTCATCTGAAAAAATGGAATATTTTTAATTTGGCACAAAAGCCAAGCTAAGTGAATAAACTGAAAGATGCAAAAATGATTTCAAAATTGCTTTTAAACGATTTTTTAGCACATCCAACTATCTGATCCACATAAAAATGCTGCAACATAACAAGTTAAATCGGTATGTTTTGATGATTTTCCTTTTTGAGAATAATAATTAAGGTGTAACCAAGCGTTTTAGAGCCTATATATGAAGACGTTATTTACATATGTACCAAAATTCTTGGCCATAGGATAATTTGAATTAAAGATGCTTTTTTTCGAGTTGAAAACCACTGATGAGGAATATAAAGGTTTTTGTAGACCAAGAATTGCAAAAAATGAGCTGCCTTATTTTTTCCAGATCTTACTTCATTTAGCATCACAGTGGAATGACTCTCCGATCCTTTGCTTGCTTCGCCTTTGATGTCTTCCGCCATCCATTTTATGAATGTGTTTACAGGACTCAGAAGAATTTCTACCACTTCAGGGGTGACAACCAGAGCTGAAAAAATTGTTATTCGCTTGCCATACGTTTATTCCAAGGTGTCATTCGAGCTAATTGTAGAGGTTTTTTATCTCATTTCAAAAGTTGAGTTCTGCTCCGAACACTCGCGTAGAGTTGACAGGAACTCTGGCAAAGGAGTTGCTCAATTGTAAGATTTTTGACGCGGTTTTAGGTACCTCAAAAAACCTGCGGAGATGCAAGTGTGTATCAAAGTATGGCCGGCCCCATCGATTGTGATTCGAAAAAAAAATATTGGCAAACGTCGCGATGGGGGGGGGGGGGGATTTTCGGCTTATTAGCAAGCCATTTTTGGCGGAATTATTTTCTACCAGCTGAAATATATTGTTTCTTAAGCTCAAGTTTAAAAAGATATTTCATCTGTGGTCATTTCTCTTAAAGATATGGTGGTTTAAAGATTGCCAATTTGAGTCAACTAACGCGCGACAAATTTTTTTGTTATTTACGGAAAGCGGCGTTTTAATCAGGCTTAGCAATGGCTCCAAATTGAACTTAGGCGTGCTATTTATTCTAGTCCATACGTTAATATATGCTAAATATATCACTTGTTAAATTAAATTTTTTCTATTTTTTATACTTCATCAGTTTTTTAAGTTAACAATACTATATAGACGTTAAAGGGCAGTTGAAACAATCAAGGCTTCGGCTTGATACGAGCAGTCTTGTTACTCTTGCCCTAAAATAACTTTAGGCACAAAATTGTCAAAATTACAAATGGTAAATTTAACTTCCGTTCTGAATTAATTTCTAATTTTTTGTGTCTCCAGCACAATTGTTCAGAGATAACGAATACGCCCGGGACGGCAAGGGTTCAGGGTTCAAATCCGAGAGGACTTTTTTCAAACGGGAAATTTTCCGTTTCACAAAAAAATTTTCGGCTCTTTATTTATCTGCTTATGTTTTGTCGGCTTAGTTGGCATATTGTAGAATTGTTGTTTTGTTTTAGTTTTTACTGTTCTGACTGTTCATTTGAACGATGAGTGATCACGCTGAAACCTGTGATTGGTTGATTTAAATGTTTAATAAAAATTTGCATAAAAATATCTTTTCTGAAATTAATTTCAATTTCCCTTTGAATGTATTTCTGCATTGATGACTCTAGTCGGAGCATTTTGTGCTCATTGCACAGCAACCGGTTACTTTTACTCGCTTTTGCTTTGCTGCCGAGCTTTTTTTGTGGTATCAGAAGTGTGGCGAAGCTGTGCATCGCCTCTGCATTTATTTATACTTTAAGGAATGTCTTGTGCTTTGTCGTATATATTATTTCATATATGCGTGTGTTGTAACTTTGGATAAAAGGGGCTGCCGTGGATGCAACACAGTTCGCAAAAAAGTTCTGAGGTTTCTTTGTCAGCATGCTGACAAAGAAACAATTTTTTTGTTTCTTTGTCAGCATATGTTATATATACTCGGGGGCATAGCTAATTTATCTTCCATGATTATTTACTTTTAGATTAATTTTTCTATTTTGTGCTCCAACTGGGAAAAGTTCTTTCGGAACTTTCGACTTCCGTAACAATGAATCAAACAAAAAAAATTTTGAGGTAGAGTGCGCATAAAAGTACTTTTTTTCTGATCAAAAGTCTTTCAGAAAAGTTTATTTAACGTTTACTTGTCACGCAAAAGTTTTAGACAAAATGATGTTTTTTTTTGCTTTGACCATTCTTGAAAGAGTGAAGGAACTATCGCGTGGTGAAGTTTCTTTCTACTCAGCTGTAGGTATCTTGAAAAAACTCCTAGTATGGCTTCAATTTATAGTTTTTTCTGTTGTAATTCAGATTTTCAATAGATGTCTTACTGAAGAGTCTCTCAGGTCTGGTTTTTTATCCAATTGATGGTTGGATGAAAAAGAGAGCCCGATCTGATTCTACTTTGCTTTTAAAAATATTTTAAGCTAACTTTACTCTCTTGTTTTTAACTTATTACCAATCTCCTCCCCTTACCTAAATTGAATTTAGCGTGTTAGTTGAGTTTTTTTTTGTCAATTTGTTTTGTATGAGATGTATCCGCTTCTCTAAAATGTTTGCAAAGTTGCTTGTCTTATGGTTGATTAAGCTCAAATAATGGAGCAGTGATTTAGACTAATGATACTGAATGATTCAGCTCTGCGTTTTTATTCGGAAACACACTAATTCAAAGAAAATTTACAAAAGGGTCTCTCAGTGCCGACAAAAGCAGGTCTGATTTTTCATCCAGTTGACGGCTTGATGCGAACGAGAGCGCAATCTGATTCTACTGTGCTTTTAAGAATCGTTTGAGCTATTTTCACTCTGTTGTCTTAAACTTATTACCAATCCCCTCCCCGTACCTAAGTTGAGTTTGGCGTGATAAGTGAGATTGTATTTGGCAATTTTGTTCTGTATGAGATGTATCCGCTTTACTAAAGCGTTTTCAAAAATGCTTGACTTTTGGTTGATTAAGCTCAAAAGAAGCAGTGGTTTTAGAGTAAAGACCCTGAATGATTCAGCTTTGGGTCATTATTCGGGAAAACACTAATTCAAAGAAAATTTACAAAAGGGTCTCTCAGTGACGACAAAACAGGTCTTGTTTTTTCCCGTTAATGGCGTAATGATACAGAGAGCCAAATCGGTTTCTTGCGTGCTTCTAGCAATTTTTTATCCAGTTGATGGCTTGATGAAAAAGAGAGCCCAATCTGATTCTACTGTGCTTTTAATTATATTTTGAGCTATTTTGGCTTCATTGTTTTTTAGCTTATTACCAATCCCCTCCCCGTACCAAAGTTGGATTTGTCGTGATAGGTGAGATTCTACTTGGCAATTTTGTTTTGTATGAGATGTATCCGCTTTACTAAAACGTTTTCAAAATTGCTTGTCTTTTGGTTCATTAAGCTCAAATTGAGCAGTGGTTTTAGACTAATGACCCTGAATGATTCAGCTCTGCGTTGTTATTCGGGAAAACACTAAAAAGAAAAAGTCCGGGAAAAAGAAGTTAATTTACCGGATCTCCACTGCTTTTCGCTCTTCGAGTCTGGTTGACTGGAGATCGAGTCAGTTGATTTGGTTCGCTGTCGTAAAGGAGACTTTAGCCCAGGTGCTGAAAGGTAAATATTAGACTATAACAAGGACAGCGGATGCTGTACGAGTATCATAGTATCGTCCGACCACATTCATGGGAAAACTACAAAAAATATATTTTCTTGTTTTAATTTAGTGTCGTTTTTGGTACACGGTGTGATGAAAGAACTATACAAACTCTTTGAAACTTAGTAAATTAGTAAAGAAAATTTGTCGCAAAAAAGTGAATAACAAACAAAATATGAAAACAAAATCAAAAAAAAATTCCAAAATTGTTTAAAATTTTTTTGCCCTGATGTTTTTAGAAAACTTTTTTTTGCCCAGGAAACGCTTTTTTTGTAAAATCAAGTGTTCTTAGTCTAAATTTTATATAATGAACGTTTTTCGATAGCTTTACTCGCTCGAAATTAGATTTAAACTCATAAAATTCAAACCTGTTTTTCTTGACACTTTGACAGCTTTTTAATGTTAATTGAATCACGGTTTAAAGTGCTTTAATATGGTATATCGCTGGAACCATTCCAATGATTGTTTGTGGTACCTGAGTGCGCGTGGAAAACAAAAAAAAGAAGAAAAAAATATATTTAAAACTTACCCGAATACAATGTTTCTCCCCATTTTCAATGGTCGGATCAAAAATAAGCAGCCTAGTGTTGAACTTCTCCCAAATGTTTCAATTTGCAACGAATACGTACCTGCGGTTTTAGAAGGAGTTCCTGGTTCATCATTCAGACGTCGAACCACGGGTTGCTTTTTCGGCGTTGTTAGTTTGCTTGAAACTGTTGGGGACTTTGTTCCTTTCTTTTCTTTACTAACAGCTGGTGCCGTTTTGGGCTTTACAGAGGGTAATGTTTTAACCAATTTCTTATTAGAAGATCCGTCAACCGGTTCTTGTATTTCTGGAATTGACTCAAGGTCCGTTTTTTTCGAAGCTGCGCCATCGACTAGATCTTCTCCTACTTCGGTGTTCATTTCATCTCCGTAAAATGAAGTCGCGTAGTCTTCTGCAGCCATTGTAAAGCATATTGTTGCAACAGGTATCTTGCGTGTTCTTTTTGATTCGTTGTCGAACAGAATCAAGTTAGTTCCAAAAGATTCGTCGCTGTCGACTTTGTTCACGATTTCATTGAAAAATTCAAATGTGATCAATCCAAGATTAAATGAGGCTTCCAAGGGCAGAACGTTTTCTGATTTTACATCAATCAAGGTCACACCTGATGTTTTTTGAGGTTGAAATACTTCCGGAAAATCTCTTTGCAAATCGCGAATCTGAGAAGCTTCTACTGTATGGCTGCTTAGAGCTTCGGTTGGCCACAGTAACTCAGTTTCGTCTGTAATAGTTTTTGACTCGCTTTGAATTAGGATTCCTGTGTAGTCTTCAGGACTCATTTCAAATTCGTCCATTACTTGTTGAAATTTTGTTTCATTGTTTTTAATTGCTTTCTCTAATGGCAAGATGGCGTTTGAGCTTGGGTTAAAAGTGGTTAATCCACTTGGTGGTTTCTGTTCACGCAGCGATCCATAATTTTTGAGCTTGTACTTTAAGCTATCACTAAACTGTTCAAACAGATCTTCAGATAAGTTGTTCAGCTTAATTTGACCTTCCTGTGTTTCAGTTTTTACAAAAATTTTGGTATGCATATTTTTCATGGTTCCAATTTCTTCAGTCAGTTCTTCATATTCCGTCGAGGTTAGAACTTCTTGTCTCAATAGGCCACACATCGGAAGGACTTTTGAAGAATCATTCACAAAATAAACATTAGACGGACTCAAATAGCTCTCGATAGTTTCTGGATGCAATTTGATTATTTCAGCTCGTTCCGTCTCTATCAGAATTTCGTTTTCAATTTGTGTCACAAATGAAAAAGATTTTTTCGAAGGCATGTAAATGAGCATCTTCCTCAATTTTCCAAGCCCACCAATAGTTAATTTATGCAGTTCCTGATTAAGCGTCTCGACTTCAATTTCGGTTTTCATGATGAGATCGTAAATGTGATTGATCGCTTTCGAATCATCATTGTACACTTTCAAATCAGGTATTTTTAAGAATTGGTTCGCTTCTTTGGAAATCAATTTTATGTTTTCGAATTCGGTCTGATTTATTTTACCTTTCTCCAAGGCGTCGAGTGGGGACCATAACTTCTTCGTAATTCTGTCTGGGACCAGAACTTTCGTCAACTTTTCCGGTCTCTTCATTACTTGTTCACAGAGTGAATCACTCATTTGAACTGTAATCAACTCTCGTTCTAAAGCTTCGAACACGGAAATTGACATATTGCGGTCAATGTCAAAAATCATCGGCAGCGGACTGATTATCGGCTTAATAAGTGTTTCCAGTTCTTGATTTTCGATATTTTTCATGCTTGATGTTGATAATGCAGCTTCTAAATCTTGTTTGCTTCTCAGATTTTCTATTTTATATCCCTGGCTCAAAACAAAGAGACGACTGCATGTTTCTGGAAACTCTCTTTCACACCTCGTCATTTCTTGGTACTGTGACTCATCGATTACGCCCGAAGTGAAGGCTGTCCATAGGTCAATTGCATCTTTTGATTTTTCGTCTAAAAGCTTACATTTAGAGCCAAGGACGTTTTTTTCGCCGTTTACGCTCGCATTTAACGAATCAAAAATATCTTGCGATATCAAGTTTTGCCTGAATGCTTCGGATAAACTTGTCAGATTTCCATTCGTGTTAATCATGACATTTGTTACAGATAAAGGATTTTTCGTGATACGCCTTTCGATCTCGTCAAAAACTGAAACATCCAATTCACCCGTCAGAACGGAATTTTCCAGACTAGAAAGTTCTGAATTATTTCTCATCATTTTCTCAAACGGAGCTATGCTTATTTTTGAGGAGATTGGGTATTCGAAGGCGTCAGGCTGTGTGCTCAGTAATTCTTCAAAGAAATGGTCGTCTACTAAATCAAGATTCTTCGCCTCAGAAATCTTCAAAATTTTTTCTTGTCGAGCTGAATATATCATTAGTTTGCGCAGCCTAAAAGGGTTGACTTTCAGATCTCTTTCGGTTTGAATGGCTATGCTTTGAGGAAGAACTTTTTCCTCGACTGACTGGCTTAAAAGTACAATTTTTCCCGAATCTGCGTCCATTATGAACATTTCAGGAACTTTTTCGTCGCTGAATAAATCTGGTTTCCGATCGTAAAGATCTTTGTAAGTTTCGCTTGGAACTAATCGGTTCATCAGCGCATCATCAATTGTCATGATTATGTCTGAGTTTACTTGTAGTACAAACAGTTTAGCTGCGTTTGAGTAATGTCTGGAAAGAATTTCCAAAAATGTATCGTAATTCACATCTCCTTTATTCAGGCATTCTTCCAACGTCACCAGAAGCTTTTCGGGCATCAAAAGTACAAAAATTCCACTATATTTTGCAGGCTGCACTAAACCAGGTGTTGTGTTTACAAACATTGTCGCATCTTCTGCTGTTAAATAGTTCTCCTCCATTGCTTTATCGATGGTCAGAAGCTCGTCAGAATCGGGAAAATATAGCATTGTCTTCCTAGTTTCGACTCCGTTCTCTTTGAAAAGTCGCAAGGTCTCTGAGTAACTTTCGAGCGATATTGTTCCATTCAAGACACAATTCTCAATCATGTCATAATCACCATTGTTCATGCTTAATACATAGATCCCGGTGCTTTTTACTGGTTGGATCAATTCGGGCTGCAATGACAAGATTTCGTCGAACTCGGAAACTTCCATGACTTCTAAATCGACTGCGATCAGTGGCGTGAAAATATTTTCGGTATTTTCGTCTAGAACTAAAAGTTTTGTTAGTAGTTCAGGTTCGAATTTTAGCTTTTGAACTATGTTCATGAACACAAAACTTGATATGACTTTTTCATGCAAGGCTTCAAAAATAGGGATTATCATCTTTGTAAGTGACAGCCAAATATACAATCCTGTGTCTTTAAATGGAATGCGTAAATTTTGGAATGTGTCGCAAATTTGTTCCAACTCATTTCGCGTGACCAAACCTGATTCGACAGCATCTAGAGGTACGATAACGTCTTGCAGTGTAGCGTGAATTATCAGCGTCTTCGGGAATATTTCAGGCTCTGTTTCTAGTTTTTCTAATAGAAGAGCAACATTTTCTGGAAGAATCAATCGGTTCAAAACTGCATCTGAAATGCTCATTCGCTCTCCCATTTTAAGGGAGTAAAGTTCAATTTCGGGGTTTGGTAAAATGTGACAGAACTCACTACTCTGATAGCTTAATTCGTAGAAAAGATCTTTCGTAATTGTTTCTCGGAAAACTGCCTCGTATGTCGACAAAATGTTTTGGATGCTTTTGCTCCAAACCACTATTTGTGTCATATACTTGCCTGACTCATGAAGGGCAGCTTTCACTAAGTGATGAGATTTTGACGAAATCAGTGCGTTTGCTTGTGCGTCTTCAACTGTGTAAAATTGCTGAGTTTCCGGGAACAGAATCAATCTTTCGCTCTTTTTGGATATCGAAAAGTGGACTAAATCTGATTGGTCAAAAAGTTGAGCGTTGCTAGCTTCTGATTGGTTAACTAAGATTCCCCTTGTTTCGTCATATATCAACATTGCCTCGGCCGTCTCGCTGTCTATCAAAAATTGGATAAAATTTTTCATTTCGATTATGTGTTCAGTCAATGCTTCTTTTAACAAGCACAGCTTTTTCCCTGGTATGAAACATTGAGTGTCAGAGTACTTGTATTTCATCAATATATTTGGATCCACAGCTGAGAGCGTTTCGAATTCGACCACCATCTTTTGCACTGCTTCCCGAATTTCGAGAAGCTTCCCATTTGAAGGATTCAAAATCAAAAATGATGGAGTGCTTTCGAGATCTTCGCTCATTAAAGCCAATAGGTTCGCAAATGAATTCAAGTCAATCAAGTCTTCTTTGAATACCAATTCTAGTGGACTGAGAGTGCCACTTTGCTGCATGACTGTTACTTGGGAAGGTTTGAGGGAAAGGAGGTAGTCGATATTGTCCGTTTTGATATTTTCATAAAGATTGGAGTCTATGATTCCATCTAGATATCCAGCAATTGGTGAGACCAATTTCGAATCTTCCAGCATGACCAGAAGCTTCGGAACACTTTGTGGCCTCAGATATGCAATTGAACAGAGGTCTTCGTAGACTTCTATGTTTGTAAAACCGAGCTCGAGGGAAGTTTCCAGAGTGAAAATTTCTCGGTTTTCGGGGTTGAGAATATGAATTCCAGGTGGGGAAATCTTTTCGAACGATTTCACATTAGTCAAAACTAAAGAATCTAGTTCGCTTACTCCAAGAAGGTTCAGCTCAATGGCGTCAAAAGGCGAAATCACCGAATCGTTGTCCCGGTCAATTATGAAAATTTTACCCGTTGTCTCGGGGTTTTGCGTGCTCAGGAGAATAATCAGTTTTAATTGGTTTGAAGAAATTTTTCCTTGTTGAAAGGCTTCAGATACCTTCAAAGTGGTTTCAAAGAATGGATCATGAATTTCGAAATCGTCTATTCGGCTGTCATTATTGACCGTCTGAGTTAGCTGGTAATACATTTTGTCAGTTATGATTCCCTGTGACAGGGCAGTTGGTAATATAAAAAGGTCATCTGTTTGATCTGTCGAAACAAATGTCATGTTTTGGAGGTCATGTCGCAGGAATCTTAAGTAATCTTGAACATTGATGCTCCTCGAAGCAATAGCGTTTTCCAAAGAGCTCAAATGTTGATTATGTTCTGAATAAATAAACAAATAGCTTGGATCAGTCGAAGGAGATTTTAAAATGGACAGCAGGTTTTCAACTATTTCAAACGTTTTCATTTGAGGTATGTGTTCCAAGAATGCATAAAACTCATCAATACTAGCTAACTTGTTGGAATCCTTCAGATAGAATGTCAGATCAATTTTTTTGGATAATATCTTGTGATTTTTCGACTCTTGAGTCTTGCCTGTTTTTGAATTGTAAATTAAAAATCCCTGATTTTCCATTGTTTTTTGGATGCGGTTTTTGTTCACAATAGTGAGTAGCTGTTCCCTGATTTTCGAACATTCTTCTTCGCTTATCTTTTGATCACTTGCTTGGAGTTGTTCAAACACTTTGTCATCATTTGGCGTTGCATCTTTCACCATAATTTTGTTCAAATACTTTGAAACAATTTTTTGTAAAGTTTCGTACTGCTGGGCCATTAGTGATGTTTTGTTTTGTTCAGATAAAATTTTTTGATGAATCGCTTCTTCCATAGATATACTAGTTTCACCATTGCGATCATTGATAGAAATCGCTCCTGGAATTATTAACGGCATTTGCACTTTTTCGGCTCCTTGTTCTAATAACTTTGTGTCCAAGTTGAAACAAGTGGGTAAAACTTCAGAAGTAACCAATTCAATCTCGTTTATTTTAACCGAAAATTCCAAATTTAATACCTCGTGAGACGTTGCGAACGAGCTAGTTGCAATGTTTTGAAGTGAGGTCAAATTCAGATTCGACGCAAAGCTCTTTCGGTTGTGTGCACCTGCTACTAATGCTTCCTCTTGAATCGGAGCGTTAGACGTTGAGAGATATTTTGAAATTATGTCTGCATAACCCTTCTGTGAAATCAGTTTCCGTTCTAATGCTTCTTCAATTGTGTACTGTTTGTTACTTGAAGAATCTGTTATCATTATAGATCTTGGAAGTTGCTGATTTCGAACCGATTTATCTTTGCCTTTTGTCAGCCTCTCGTAAACTGGCAGTGAAATCCAACCTCGCGTGAATGCTTCTTCGACGCTAAATGTTTCTCCTGTCTGCGAAGAAAACACAAAAACTTTTCCATCAATTTTGCTGACTTCTAGTTCTCGAATGCCCGCTTTTTCTCGATCCTTAAGTTCTTTATATTTTTCATCTTCGATCAAACCCGAGTTGAACGCATCATCAAGGTTCAGTGTAATTCCAGTTTCGGAATCAGTCACGACAATGATTCCTGCCTTTTCGGAAATTGCATCATTGGACTTCGTCTCTTCGAATTGCACTCGGACTCCCTCGGGAACTTCACCTGACGTCATTTTCGGTTTATGTTTTGCATTTTCGAAAACTCTGACATAAAAGTTTGAGTCGATTATTCCTAACTCAAGCGCATCATCAAACGAGATTTGTGTCACATCGTCATTTTCGCTAATGCATTCGAAAATCAAAATCTGCCACAGATCTGATTTTGTAGACAGGAACTGAATTTCAGTTGGACTATTCTCCAAGATGTCCAAAATCGCCGCATTGATCAATCCTTTCTCGAAAGCTTTTCGTGGCCTTAATTTTTTGCCTGTTTTCTTATTCAAAACTGAAATTTTTAAAGCAAAAGTGTCGTTAACAGAACTCAGCAGTCTGGCGTCTTCCAATACGCTCGTTACTTCAAACATCAGTTTTGAAAATGTCCTCTGATCGATGAGTCCCATGTTAAGTGCGCTTGTCGGTGATACCAAATCCTTCGTTTGTGGGTTGAAAACCACTGGAGATTCGGACTCCAGTTCCATGACTTCCATCACGGGATCCAGGACTGTAACTTGCTCGAAGCTGTGTTTGTTCTTGTATTCGACAGGGCTACTAATGTCGTCTGGAGGTTTAACCGGCACAGTTTTTGAAGTAGAAATTGTTACCAGCTCAACTGATGTATCATACTCAATGAAGTTGCAATAAGTTGAGTGGTCAATTAGCCCTTTCTTGTAAGCTTCCTCAGGTGTGACTTTTTTACTATTGTTTGAAGTTATCGTTTCGTTTTCTACATAAACTGCTTTTTGAACTTCAATTTCGGGAACCAAATCTTGTATGCATTGAGTCTCAAAATCAACTTCCGATACTTCTGGGAAGTAAAGCAGTTCTACTTCTTTCATAATTTCAACTGGTTTATGTGTCTTGATAAGTCTTCTATATTCTTCTTTAGAAACTGGGACTCCTGATTCCGTTTGTTCGTTCTTTTTGAACTCTTGGTACGTCTTCTCGTCAAAAAGACCTCTTCTCAAACCTTCCTCCAGTGATATTCGTTCCTCCGTTACGGGGTCCAAGACTGTCACCTTCTTTGATATTCTAGCTTTATATTCAGGTTCTTTTTCAGCCATCAAAATTGGCTCCTGGTTTTCTTTCGCTTTTGAATGCAATGTCTTCACTTGAGGCAAAGTAATCGCAATTGCTTTGTGTTGAATCGATGGGCTATCAAGGTTCTTGTCAAACTTTGAAACCCCTTGTGGTTGTTGAGCTAGCACAACCTGGTCAGCTGATACTTCCCTGGCTCCTAACTCTTCTGAATCCCAACTCACCAAACTGCTTTCAGACACCGCAAAATCATGATGGACAATTCTACGCATCGTTGGTGGCAGTTCAACTCCCAGTATCTCCATTTTGTCTAACCTCATTGGCTGAGCTGTTACCGGGTCATACACACGTGGTCTTTGCAAGCTGTTCCTTTGCTTCAAGTTCAAATATGTATCCGAGTCAATTATATCTCTTCTGAAAGCTTCTTCTAATGTAAGTTGCTCTTCGCTTCCAGGTCGAACTATTTTGAGAACTCGCTTTTGAACCTTCTCGACGCTCCGTTTTCTTTCATCTGTTTTCTCATTTTTTGGAGTTAGATCAAATTCTATTGGCGTCATTTCTTGCATGGGCTCAAAAAGTGAAACTTCGACATTTGGACGTTCTATAGTGTCTAAATTGTCGTCGCTCATAACTTTTCCGTCAATGTATCGGTACAAGAAACTACTTCCATCACTACCTCGTACGTTTATAGTCAAAGGAGCAGCTTCCACGTTACCTTTGTGAACCGTTTCATGCTCTCTTGGCAAGTCATTTGGATCCAAAGGTAAAACGATTGCAGTCGGGTCCTCTTCAAGAGCTCGACTTAATTCTGGGTCATCTGATCTATACGTCCTTCTCTCCATGAATGAGTTTCCGTGGCTATATCGAGAAGTCCCTTCGAAAATTACTACCTTGGACATCGGATTTTGACGTATCTGTTTCACACTTATTCCAATGGGAGTGGGTTCAATAGTTTCTAGATTTTCTTCTTCGTCTGATTCCAATTCTTTTTCCTCTTCTGGAAGTTTGGTTGATCTTGATTTTATTTCTATTACATTTGTTTTTGTTTGATCTCTGATTGACTCCAGGTTTTTCTTTTTCACTTCGAAAGTGGGAAGCTTTTCTAGACCTGAATGCATTGCCAAATACAATTTGGATGCTTGTCGATGCAATAAATCTGACTGGCTTTTTGATCTCGATTTTCGGCTGACCACTCTTCGGCTACCAAATACAGAAGAACCGAATATTTTCAACATAGACGTTGACTTTCTAATTTTCTTGATACTGGGTGTTTTCACTTTCAAGAATGACGTAAGTGTATAGACTTTGTCATACTCCAACATTTTTCGTGATTTCAAAACCCAGCGTGTTTCACCGTCCCAAAATTCAGTGATAGCCATGCTTATCACTGGTCTTACTTCGATTACAACTCGGCCACTCCTAACCCGAGGCGTCAGCTCCTCGAAATCAAGAATGTCCATTCTATTGGCATCGATAAGTCCCCAAATATCTAGATGTTCAGCCTTGATTATATTCAAATTATCGCTGAATAAAACATTTACCGCAGTTTCTTCGCCTTCTTTGTCTGGGGCTTCTGCAATGAACTTTCGGTTACCTGCTATAGGCAATTCCTCCATGTCAGTTAAAAAGTTCGGAAGTTTAGAACTGGTTGGAATCCAAACCCTGTTCCGCACAACTTGGGCTTCTTTTTTCTGGATAATTGTGAACTCGTAAAATTTTGGAGCCTCCACATCTGCATTAGATCTTGACGAAGTCTCAATCAAAATTCGTTTCAATGACGATTTGTAACTTCGAGTTTCAACAATACAATCCAATTTTTGCTCATTTATAAACCTGCTAATCGTTCTTTCTCCGTTTCCTGATTGGTCATACTTTTCCTCTAATGAGATCCTTTCAACCATATCAGTTTGGGCTTCAACTCGGAACTGCTCTCGATTGGTATCTATTTTTGGACACACTTCGGGGTTCTTTGTGTGCAATCGTTCGTCTTCAAACTCCTCGAGATGCAGTTTCAGAAGATGATTCATTGGCCTAAGTTCATGTGAGTTGATCACTTCGTCACCTGGGTTAACATATCTGCTCGTTTTGGAAACTCTTCGATCCAAGATATCAGTGGTTGTTTTTTGAACCTCAAATAGTATCCCTATAACTTTCCTTTCCTTTCGTGTCTGATAAATTAGTCGTTTTTGTTTCAATGTTGTCACCTCTGGTACAGTCGAATAAAATCTATGCCGGACAACTTTAATTTCAGCATTTTCAGGATTTTTTTCTGGAATCTCAAGAGTTTCTGGGCGTTTTGCAATTCCGGTTTTCTCATTAGTTCTATTTTTTCTGCCTGAAGTTGCTTCTTCTTCTGAAGGCGTTTGAAGAATTATGTCAATGTCAACGATATTAAACTTTTCGTTGAATCGATGCTCCTTTACTCTCACGGCAGAAACGGGGTTGATTTCTAAGCAAACAGCTCTTGCTGATTCTCTAACTTCTGAAGGAACAAATTGCAGAAGAAAATCTTCTGGCTGTTTTACTGGTCTTGACAACTTTAAGGTTTCCGATTTTTCTTTTTCAGAAAGTTTTTCGTTATCAGGAAACTCAGTTTTCATCAAGTGTGCGAAGAACGAATCTGAAATCGGGGACCATCTTTTGACTCTTACGACTTGTTGATTGGCGAGACTGAAACTGAAATCGAGTTCATAGAATTGCTCTTTAAAAGGTGTGAAAGAACCCATGTCAATTTGAGAAATAGGCACTGTGAAATTTTCAGACTCCTGCGACAGATAGTTGCGAACTTCAGTAACTGTTTCGTTAAGTGGAGATTTTTCTACGAACTTCACAAACACAGTGTAATTTGAATTTTCATCAAGATAATACTCCAGTGATCCCTTCAAAAATCCAGACTTGTCCAGCAATGATGCATCTGCGATCTGGTGGCTCATTTTTGAAATTTGATCTGTGGGCTCAACGCCGGTTTGATTCAAGTATTTTTGTAGTTCAGGATCGTCAAATCGATAATAACGTGTGACCTGTTTTGTCTCAGTTCCATCATTTTCCATCTTGGTGACCTCTATGTACTGTTCTGGGTGTTCTAGGAAGTTCTTTGTGTCGCCTTGAATGCTCGACAGCTCAGGTGCATCTAAACCGTATCTTCGATATTCGACAACAATTTCGCCCTCTTCTTTGATAGTTTTGATTGACAGGTGAACAAATCTCTTGCCAATTTCTTCGATGTTTTGAATTATTGCATCATTAACTGGCTTAATTTCAACGTCGGCAATAATATCGGTTGAACTTTCACTTTTGCTTTCATCGTCACTTTCCATTCCAGGGAGTGTTTTTTCAAAAAATTTATCATCCGCCAAAATTTTAAAGGAAACTTCTGTTGTAACAATATCATCTGTTGTCGCAGAATCCTTCACTACAGATTCTGGTACTTCGTTGCAATTTGCAGTATCATTGCTTTCAAGCTTCGCCAATTCCTCGATTTGAAGAGCTGTAAGACCTGGAATTAGTTCACCATGTTCCAATTCCATATTCTCGATTTCGGATAGTTCTGGAACTTCTTCTCCGATTTGTAGTGACTTCGTGACTTGGAAATCGGTTTTTCCGCTTCTCAAATCTCGGTTGGTTTCAATTTCGCTTGGTTTTGCAAATTCGATGGTCTGACTGAGCAAATTGGGACTAACTGCTTCTAGTATTTCTTTATCAAGCTCCTCTACAAGATTCCCAGTGTGCGTTTCAGGCTGGTATCTATTAGCATCTTCTCTTAGGTGCCCACCGTCTTTTTTACCACTGTCGTATTGTACTAGTTCTTGATACTCCAAGTCTGGCAATATCTGCGTCATTTCTTCCATTTTCCCCTTGTCGTCAGGTATTGTGAAGGCTACGATTGACTTCGGCTTTATTTTCTCATCACTTATAGAGGATTTTAGACACATTTTTTCAGATAACTGTTCCATTCCAATTCCCAATTCTGGAAAGATTTCTGTTTCTTCGTGAATAAATAGAGAAATTTGCTCTGCTGTATTATGGAACTCCGAGTTGAACTCTGGTTCGTTAATTTCAAAAGTCGGCAAAATGCTTTCTGGGACTTCAGAAACTTCTTCAGCAACGGTTTCGATTTCCTTTTCGGGAAAATTTTCATAAGTTATCTGGAACGGTTGAAATTCAGCTTTATTTTTGTTGTCTTTTGTTTCAGGACTCGCTTCATGAGGAATCACAGCAATTCTTTCACCGATATCATGTATTGTTTCTTCTGTCCGCTCATCGAACCGTTTTGCTACAAAGTTTAAGTTTTGTTTTGTAAATTCGGGTCTGACTGGAGGACTGTGTTCTCCTTTGACTATCTGAACATCATCAGGAGCTCTGACCTCAAATTCCTCCAGTTTTTCCTCTCTAGTCACAATTTCGCTATCTTGTGACTCAGAAACGGTCTGAACAATCAGAGGAAGTTCTTCGGTAGTTTCGCTGATGCTCATATTTATTTCAGCAGACACCAGTTCGGCCGTGAAAACTTTCACAGTTAACGCCTCATCAGCTTCTATTGTTTCAACTGGTCCATATTGTATTAAAAATTCTGACGTTTTTGTTGCTTCGAAGTCTACTGCATGGTCAAGGTCTTCTAGGTCAGCTTCCTGTGGAACGATGATTGATAGCTCTCGAACATTTTCTTCGACAGACTCTCCTTCTATTCTAGCGATATGTGAAATGCTCACCATAAAAGCCGGTGGTTCTTGCTTGAACTCGCTGGTTTCTATTCTTCTCTCGGCCCCTTCGAGTGATTCCCGATTTGTTAGGGTTTCGGTTTCTTCGTCCGAAAGTTTGGTCTCTATTGATGGAGCATACTGATTTTTGGTCTGAACCGTAGAAACTGGGATAATGGTTTCAGGTGCTTTGATTACTATATCGCTTTGCACGATAGTATTTTCTGATTCTGAAGGTTGTGGAGATGTTATAGTAGACTCTTTTTCCTGTGGTGCTTCTTCAACTGAGTTAAGAACATATTGAATTGGCTTAGATTGCTGTTCTGAATTTGGAGATGATTCCAGGTTGCTTTTGGCTTCCAGAGCAATTATTTCAGTTGGAGGCTCAGAACTAAATTCCTCTACATTTTCTTCTGTTGATTCATGATTGTTTTTGCTGAGCAGATGCGAAATAGGAATCCGATCCCCGGATATCAAACCTGTAGAGTCATCTTCGACTGTTTTGGCCTCCGGGTTTTCTTTAATCGGTGTTTCCAATTTAGATTCGTTGTCTTGCGGGAACTCTTCATAGGACGTAGGAGCAAATTGAATTGGCTTCATTTGGTTTTCTGAACCACCGGGGCAAGCTTCTAGTTTACTGTTAGATTCACGTGGAGTAATTTGATTCGGAACCATTGATTTCAGATCTTCAACTGTTTCCTCTGTTATCTCAGACGTTTTTTCATTAGTCATGTGTGACAAAGGAGACTGAGTTCTGGGTAATGAATGCCCGGACTCTCCCTCATTTGCTTTGGAGTCATGATTCTCAGAAATGTCATGTATTGTTTCTTCTGTCCGCTTATCGAACCGTTTTGCTACAAAGTTTAAGTTTTGTTTTGTAAATTCGGGTCTGACTGGAGGACTGTGTTCTCCTTTGACTATCTGAACATCATCAGGAGCTCTGACCTCAAATTCCTCCAGTTTTTCCTCTCTAGTCACAATTTCGCTATCTTGTGACTCAGAAACGGTCTGAACAATCAGAGGAAGTTCTTCGGTAGTTTCGCTGATGCTCATATTTATTTCAGCAGACACCAGTTCGGCCGTGAAAACTTTCACAGTTAACGCCTCATCAGCTTCTATTGTTTCAACTGGTCCATATTGTATTAAAAATTCTGACGTTTTTGTTGCTTCGAAGTCTACTGCATGGTCAAGGTCTTCTAGGTCAGCTTCCTGTGGAACAATGATTGATAGCTCTCGAACATTTTCTTCGACAGACTCTCCTTCTATTCTAGCGATATGTGAAATGCTCACCATAAAAGCCGGCGGTTCTTGCTTGAACTCGCTGGTTTCTATTCTTCTCTCGGCCCCTTCGAGTGATTCCCGATTTGTTAGGGTTTCGGTTTCTTCGTCCGAAAGTTTGGTCTCTATTGATGGAGCATACTGAAGGCTTCCAATGTTCTCGCAGTCTTCTATTAAGTTTTCGAGCTCATTGTTAGTTTCAGACGGGGTTATTTGCTTTGCCTCATTTGCAAGAAGAAAATCTGTACTTTCTCTTGCATTATCCTGCTCTTTTTTGGTCTGAACCGTAGAAACTGGGATAATGGTTTCAGGTGCTTTGATTACTATATCGCTTTGCACGATAGTATTTTCTGATTCTGAAGGTTGTGGAGATGTTATAGTAGACTCTTTTTCCTGTGGTGCTTCTTCAACTGAGTTAAGAACATATTGAATTGGCTTAGATTGCTGTTCTGAAATTGGAGATGATTCCAGGTTGCTTTTGGCTTCCAGAGCAATTATTTCAGTTGGAGGCTCAGAACTAAATTCCTCTGCATTTTCTTCTGTTGATTCATGATTGTTTTTGCTGAGCAGATGCGAAATAGGAATCCGATCCCCGGACATCAAACCTGTAGAGTCATCTTCGACTGTTTTGGCCTCCGGGTTTTCTTTAATCGGTGTTTCCAATTTAGATTCGTTGTCTTGCGGGAACTCTTCATAGGACGTAGGAGCAAATTGAATTGGCTTCATTTGGTTTTCTGAACCACCGGGGAAAGCTTCTAGTTTACTGTTAGATTCACGTGGAGTAATTTGATTCGGAACCATTGATTTCAGATCTTCAACTGTTTCCTCTGTTATCTCAGACGTTTCTTCATTAGTCATGTGTGACAAAGGAGACTGAGTTCTGGGTAATGAATGCCCGGACTCTCCCTCATTTGCTTTGGAGTCAAGATTCTCAGAAATAGGAGTGGGTACAAGAGATTCTTTTTCATGAGGCACCTCGTCGAATGTCATTTTGGCAAATTGAATTGGTTTTGATTGGTTAGCAAAAGACGGAGAACCTTCTAGACTATTTTTAACTTCTTGTGGAAGTATTTCTTTTGGTTCCGCAGATTCGAATTTTGCTGCTTCTTCGTCTGTTTGCTCAATTACATCTTTATTCTGTAGATGTGAAACATGAATTTGACTGTTTGGAAATATACTCGTGTCATCTCTTCCAAACATTATTGCTTCAGTATTTTCAGTAATGGGAGTAGTGATATGAGATTCGCTATCTTGTGGTATTTCTACAAATGATGAAGGTACAAATTGAATAGGCTTTATCTGTTCTTTTGAATCAGGAGGAGCTTCTAAGTCATTACTGGTTTCCCGTAGAATGAGTTCATTGGGCTCCATTGAATCGAAATTTTCTAAGGTTTCATCTATCTTTTGGTCTGGGTCTTTTTTCACAAGATATGAAACCTCAATTTTATCACTGGGCCGTAAATTTATAGGCTGTCCTCCTGTGATAACTATCTCTGGGTTTTCAGAAATCGGAGTGGCCATATTTGTTTCGTCATCCTTAAGCACTTCTTCAAATGAAGTAGGAGCAAATTGAATTGGCCTGTTGCGTTCGTCTGAATTGAGAGGAGTTTCCAGGTTAATTTTCGTTTCCTGGGGAATCAGTTCATTTGGATGCTTAGATTCCATTTTTTCTGTATTTTCTTCGTCGTTTAGCTCGGCGCTTTGATTTACTAGTAATGAAACTTGAGTTTGATCATTTGGCAGTAGATTGCTCGTTCTGATTGTTTCACCCCTGAGCTCTGGATTCTCGGATAAGGGATCTTTTATGCTTGATACTTCCTCTGATACTGATTTTTCAATTTTTGTTGGAATTGCTTGTTGAATATTGATAGACTGATGTTTATCTTGATCTATTGGCTCTAGATTATTGTTTGTTTGTTGTGTAGATAATTCTTTTGGGGACAACGTTTTTAATTTTTCAGTGACTTCTGTTTCGACAATTATTTCGTCTCCATTTTGAGCATATGATACGGGAGTTTTATCTGAACTAAATGCGTTTGCTGGTGATGATTCTACTGTTCTGGTATCGGGGTTGAGTTCAATAGGCTCTTCTAGTTTTGATAAATCATCGCTCGGCATATTGGTATTTTGTGCTGAGATATATTGAAGGGGCTTTCCAGTCGTATTATAGTTAACGCTTAATTTTTCGCTCGAGTTATTATCGATCAATTTTTGACCCGCTAGTGCGGGCTCAGAACTTTCTAGTTCTGTAATTATATTCACATCGGGTTCAAAAGTTTCCATAGGAGCGTATTGGAGGAAAATTTCAGGATCCAAGAGGTCTTCATTAGCTTCTGAGTCATCATTTGAAATGTCTAAATGCGCTTCTTTTGGTACTTCAGCTGAAATTTGCTGAACGGTTTCATCCGAGAAGTTTTCTACCAGCTTAGCTACATGGGAAATCCTGGCCAGAAACACAGGTTCTTCTATGTGCATCTCACTACTTGTGGGAGTGGATTCCGCGCCAATGGTTTTATCGATAACTAAGTCTTCAGTATATTCTCCTTTCTCATGAGAAACATCGCCAGTTTTGTACTGTATTGGACTCATCGCTGATGTTTCATCAATCGGATCTTCTAAGTCGTTCGATGATTCTTTCAGCTCAATTTTGTTCTTGTTCACGATTTCTAAGTATTCTGTTTTTTCGTCAAATGGTTTTTCATTGAAATCTTCTATTCGCGAAATGGCATTTCTCGACACTGGTGTCTCATTGTCTTTATCTTCTTCAAAATGGACATCTGGCTCGTTTTGAACTGGCGTTTGAAGTTTCCTATCGATAAAGTCCTCCAAAATTTGGGAGTCCAATGGAATAACATGATTTGAAGTCACATTGAACCTTGCTTCTTTAGAACTATTTGCGCTTTTTACCTGTTCGTTAAGTTCAACTTTATTCGTCTCTGAAACCTGCACGATTTCTTCGGCCAATTGTTCGTTTGGCTGCGTGGCCTCCGACTTCAATGATATGTGCGAAATTGTAACTTCTTCAGTATATGGTTCAGTTTGAGCCAAGAAACTGTACTTGGCTATTGTATAACAAGGTTCTGTAGTTTCTGTGATTACGTTCAATGAAATATTTGCTTCGTTTTCTCCTGTGTACTGAATCGGAATTTCCGAATGTTTCTCATTTTTGGTTTCTGGCTCAACGGTTGTTTTTGGCTCCTCGAAATTTTCAGCTTGAATATTGTCCAGGCTTTTGTCAATTTGAAGCGAAATGTTTTGTATTTCATCATTGGTATGGGTTATCAATGGGTTATAAATTGGTTCGGTCTCGTTCAAATTTTTTTCGTCTATCAAGTCTTTTGCAAAGGCTATTCCTTGATTAAGCAAAGTTGGCTCTGCTGTTTCGTTTCGACCATTTTCTGATTCTTCTAATTGAACATCACTTACTCTCTGATACGCCAATTCTTTACCCGCGTTTTCTAATTTGTTGTCAACATCCAAGACTAATGGTTTTGCTAAGTCTTTCACCTCTTGGTTCGACTCGGATTCTTGAACATCTTCATCAAAATCGGCCGTTTCTTCGGAAAGTCCGATTCGGTTGACTGCCAAAACCGACTTGTAATCATCAATTGGCTCCTTATTTTCGTCATCGTCAACATCTACTTTACTGGGTTCGTTTTTCAAACTATCCTCCGCTACCTCTTCTGAAATTGTGGCATCGGCCGGCATTTCGGAAACTCTCGAAGGAGTCACCTTGTTTGATAACTGTCTCGGTGAATTTGTTCCCTGTGCTACTAAACTCTGAGTTGGAGTAACTGATTCGTATCCGGACTCGAACTCGTTAGTGATATCAGGAGATGACGTCATAGCTGAACTGTGTATGTTTGTGACCGGCAGTGAACTGGAAGCTGATGCTTCTAAGCTGGACCCACTCGTATTATCCAAATCTGGTCTCGCTCTGAGAGGTGTGATTGATATATTTTCAACTTCTACTACCGATGTCATCCAATCAACTGCCGGAATATCAATGGGCTCCTCAATTTTCAACTCGGGAAGCTTTCCGTCTTTGATCAAATTCGAAATGAAATCCGTTCCTCTCGGGTAAGTTCTAGACTCCTCGGCGTCTTGGTCTCGGATCTCCCGTCTCAAAACTACAATGTGACTCGGCTCTTCACCGTTTCCACTACTTTTGGGTTTTGATTCACCCGCTCGAATTTGATAAACGTCATCAGGAAGTTCGACTGGAGTGCTCTCCAAGTTCCGTTTATCTTGAACTACTATTTCTTCGTCAAAATCTTCATCGATTCTGTCTTTATCTTTTAATTTCTTAGACTTCTGGTCAATTATTCTGTCCACTTCGCTCTGAACATTTTTTGGGAAGTTGTCAAAGTCTTCATTGATGTCTGGGAAAATTATTTTTACGGCAGGATCATCGTAGAATGAAACTCGTTTGCTTTTTTCGTTTTCATCTGCGGTTACGCTGACTGTAGCAGCGACTATTTCTGAAACGTCAATCGCCAAAGGATCCGAAATATTCCAACTTTCTTCTTTTTGTTGAACATTGTTAGGAGTTCCTTGCGCTTCTGACACTGAATATCCTTTGAACTGTCTCAAAACTTTTGAAATAAATTTGGATCCTTTTGTTTCTTCTTCCTCCGGTTCCTCAATCGGTTCATTCAAAATCGGGAACTTTTCTATTACTAGGTCTGTTTTTCTCAGCTTCACAGTTTTGATGGACACTTCCTGATCATAAGTGTCAAATGGAATTTGTTCATCTTTTTCAAGTGGAGTCGGTCCAATAGGTTCTTTTACATCTTGTGTAACCTTTTTGGCATTGATATTTATAGTAGTTATTGCATCTACTCTTTTCTGTAGCGAGCTTTTGATTTCCTTTTTTTGGGTTTCAACATGTTTTTCCTGCTCGACTATTTCAATTAAGTGTGCTTCATCTTTTCCTGATTCCCAAGTTGCAACTGGTACTTTAATGTGAAATATTTCACCTTCAGATGTTATAAGGGCACTTTTCAAGGTCACTGGAAGGCAGTTGTATCTCACAATTTGGTCAATGAAAACACTTTTTGGTGAAAACTTGGCAATATGTACATCATTTTGCATTTCTGAGATGGGTTCTATCACAGTCACATTTAGAAACTTGTCTCCTTTCTCAGATCGCATTTCTTCAACAGTTCCTGGAAATGTCTTTTCGTCAATGTTGAGGATTGTTTTAGCCGTTCGTTTTTTCCACGCATTTTCATTGGTTGGCGATTTGTTTTTGAGAGTTTCTGAAAGTAATTCCGACCTCTCGGAAGTTTTGCGATGCTTTTTGTTTGTCGGAGACTCGCGGGACGTGGGACTCTCGGGGCCAAGAACTGCATAAGGTGAGACAATTCGGGCTTGAATTGTCACACTTTTAGGGAGAAGCCCTTCCTCCACCAGAGCAGAAATAACTTCACTTTCAGGGTCGAAGCTTCTCACCTCTTGGAATGCATTTCCGTCCTGGTCTTTAATAACTTTGTTCAGCAAAATTGTTTTCTGATTAGACAAATCGACTTGCTCCAAAGCATCTACAGAAACAACGGATGTTTTATCGTTAATTGGTTCGAGCCAGGAAGTGACTTTGACGGTGTTTCCTTTCAATGGTCGGATGTCCACAGATTGGTAAATCTGGTTGAGAAGCTCCGAGTCCTGGAATCGTAAAAACGCTGACTGCTGTGACATCAGCTTTCCTTTGTTCCAATTCTGGTCATTGACGTTCAAATAAGGTTTCGTTTTGTCTTCCAATCCCTTAACATAGGGCAAAAAATGCCCACCTTCTGTGATTTTGGCTAGTGTGCTTTCATCCACAGGGCGATGAATTTTAATGATTTCTACGCCACTCTTAAGGTACCGCGTCAGGGTCGGTGAATTAGCTCTATGCCGTGTGGTCTTTGCCGCTATTTTTCCATTTAAGGCTTTTCCCCGGCGTGAAATGATAAACAAGCTCGGTGATTGGTTGTAAAACTCTTCAATAATTTTGACATCATGAACGTCCATTTCTGCTTCGCAGACATCGAAATCTTCAGGCTTGATTTTTTTCTGGAACCATTCTAGATCTTCGATTGCGTTGTCCCCGAATGACGAACAAGTTCGCGGGCTCAAGGGCATTTCCACGAAGTCAGAATAAACCCGTTCATACACTCGTTTCACGACGTTTTCAGTAAAAAATCCATCTTCATCTTCTTCAATTATATCTCTTTCTGGTTCTTCAAATAAAAACGAAGCCGGCACTAAGCCTCTGTCGACTAATTGAACGATACTAGGTGACTGCGGTCTGTGTATTTGCTGGTTCAAAGTATCCGATCCGCGTTCATCTGTAAACTGTTCAGTCAGCAGAATCAGACGATCACCTGTTTCTTTATCAATTGCGTCTTCTACTCTCAACCTATGCTTCGACAAGGGATCCTCGTGTTGTTGATTTACACCCGAATCGCTTGTTGGGTTTTCGTTCATTTGTCGTTTTTTGACCATAAATTTCCGTTGCACAACTTGTTCGTGTTCGTCGTCCGATGCTGGGATCAAAAATGATTCGGGCAACTCGCCTGCTTCAATTAATTCAATTATAGTGGGCGAGTCGGCTCTGTGGATTGTTTCGACCTCGTCTCCATATTTATTTTCAAACAGATGAACAAATCTTTCGCCTTCGTCTGTAATTTCTTCTTCTGCGCGAAACGTCCATTCATTTATTTGCACGTCGTTTTCAGCTTCTATTCTCCCGTAGTCTTCAAACTGAAGATTGCTCATTGATTTTGAAATTGGAGATTCAACCAATCGCTCGCTCCTGGTTGTTGATAATCTGGGTCGTTTTCCAGGACTTTTAGGCGTGTAAATGTTGGAACTGCTTCCAAGGTGAAACTCAATTTGTGGCATCAGGTCCAATCGGTCGACATGCGACTTAGTTCTTCTTCTCATTTTGAGCTCTGCTTGCCTCTGTCGTAATTTGGGAATCTTTGAAGATTCGGGCGCAATTTGTTTTTGAACTTCAATCTCTTCGTCGTCATTTGCGCTTTGGTACACTTTGGTCACGTGAACATATTTCAAACCATCGCTTGCAATTCTCTCTTCTAGCTTAATAGACAAAAGTGTGACCTTATAACCTTCGTATTCTTCTTCGCTTGAATCCGATGATGACTCACCCGAGCTTGATGACCATCTCCGTCGAACCTTGACTTGGCTTGTTGAGCCTCGTTTTTTAGTCTTTGAGCGGCTGTTCACGCTGAGACGCGAAGCACTCTTTCGCAGCTGAACTATTTCTCGTTCATATTGCGTTCCTCTGACTTGCTTAAGTAGTTCAGGATCGTTCAGTTTGAAAAACTGTTTTGTTCCGTCGGTATTCAATATTTCAATTAGCTCTTCGTCAGAAGAATTTTCAGATTGTTTTTCATCACTGCTGCTGTCGAACTCATTTCTGGACTGACTTGAATTACGATTTTCATTGACTTCGTTGCCAATGACGACCATTAAATGTGGCAACGACTCAGCTGGAATTGTTTCATTCCTAACCATCTCCAGGAGTTCCGGATCGTCTGCAGGATACTTGTACACCTTCTCTTCCATAAAACTCTGGAATTTAACAATCACAAAAAGTTGACCTTTTAAGTCCTGGAAATGCTCGACGACCACCACGACATCGGCAGTTGATGATATGTCCAAATCGCTTGATGATTCTGCTTCGTTTCCTAGAGTCGTGTCTCCTGTTTCTGTGATTCCAAGTAGAGCTTTTCTCTTCATTTCGTCAAAATGAGCAGTCAAATTGTTTATTTTCAGAAACTCAAGAAGCTCCTGGTCATGGCATTTATAAATGTAGACGTGCTCTAAATTGATATCCTTCTCAGTTCCTGGAACTGTAATCTCAACCGCAATCTCAGTGTGCGAAAAACTTTGACCTTGCGACAAATCTTTTGGAAGAATTCCACTCTCCTTCAATCGCCAGTAATCCGAACTGTTTCTGTTAATGAATTTTTCACTTAGTTCGCTATCTAAATTAGGAAAAACTCGGAGCTCAAAAATTCCAACTTGATTTAAATCCTCGCTTTTCAGAAGGAATTTTTCTTGAACTCTGCTTCCTTTTACCACAATCGACACCTGATCAACACTGTAAGATTTCAAAGATGCGATTTTTCCTGACCTTTCTACTTTGAACGTTTCTTTGACCTCTGACGAACTGTTGTTTTGATGATATTCATTGATGAACATTGTTGATCCCACTCTTTGTTTTGACTTTTCGATGCCCGCGCCTTCTTCGTAAAACTCTTTCTCTAGTCTTGTGCTTATTTTTGTGCTTGACGACTCAAAAAAGTCAGGCGTACCTTCGAGTCGTATTTTTTCCGATCGAGTTTCCTCGATTACTGTTCTCGTAAATTTACCGCTGAATGTCTGCTGGCTCACTATTTCTCTGTTGGCCACGAAATCTTCAATAGCCGGATCGTCTTTAGCAAATTTTCTAGTTTCTTCAATTTGCTTTCCATTTGCATTTGTTTTTACTACCGTCACTTCTACAATGTAGTCTTTGTTTTCAAAAGATTTGGGTTTCCAAGGGGTTTCCTCATCTGTCGTCTCGTGCAGTGGGTAAGTTTTTTCGGTCAAAATTTTTTCATCGCCTTTTTCATCTTTCTCAATTTCTTGTTCGATCACAAATTCTTCAACTGTTTCAAACCTCGAAGAAAGGTTCTGCACACTTTGAAATCTTTCACCTCTATCAAAGGAGTCCAAGTTTAACATTGAACTTGACATCGTTCGTCTTGCCCATGTTTCAGTATCAATGACGCCAGATGTAACCAACCGTTCTCTAACTTCCTCTGAGTCTAAATTAACAGCGGTGATTTCAAATTCCGGCTTCGAAACAAGGTCGGAAATTCTAGAACTTTCTGCTTTATAATATTTCTTCTCGACTACTTCGTTACCTTCATCATCTTGGTATGTTCTAGTAACTTCAGTGTATTTTATAGAATCTGAATTTTCTTCTAGTTTTCCTATTTTTGTCAAATTTTCAGCACTGGTGTCAAAAGACGGGATCCTTTTTCTGGAATCCATCTGGACGCTTCCAGTCAGTATTTCTTTCCTTGGTCGATTGATTCCAATGAACGATCTGGATGACTGGAGACTAAACGACTGCAAGGGGCTTTGTAGTTCGGTTATTGAAGTTGGGGTTTGTTGCATCGGTTGTTCTAGAAGTCTGTGTGAGTTCGTTTCAGTTTCGGTCAGTATGATCGCTGGAATGGGACCGTCTGCTTCGTCTTCATGGCTGTCACTTGAATGAATCTCGGGGACCGGCAGAAGTGTCTGAAACATCACACATGCTGAACTACGTAGATTCTGAAACTTAAATATAAAACCGTAACTACAAATTTACTAATGATGAAATGATCTCATCCAATGTGGTTTTCAATTTCATCTCACTGTCTTCAAGCTTTGCTCCCACTGTCTGTATCTCATTGACTCTTAGAACCGGTTCTGAAATGTTGTTTTTTTGTGATTTTTTACAAACTATTTAGAATTATTTATTTGAAGACCAAAAAGTTTATTTATTTACAGTTTAAAAAGTTCATTACCTTTAATGCCCAGAGTTTCTTCTTCAAATGATTTCAACTTCCCTTTCAGATCATTCAACTTCATTTTCTGTTCTTTTATTTTGCTCAAATTTTCCTGAAACAATGTCTTTTATGTTGGCTTAGCCGTTAATCTAACTTTTAATAATAATTTGGTTTTCCTACCTCTATGGCAATTATTTTGCTAGCTGTTTGTAGCTCTTTAGTTTTTGCGTCAAGTTCCATTTCTAAATCGATTTGGTTGTCCCGTTGTACCGATATCAAGTCGCTCAGTCGAAAGTGTTTTTTCAGAAACTCTGCTTCGCGGCAGCTAAAAAATTCATTCTAAATTACAAATAAGAAAAAAAAGAGTGTTAACATTTTAACCTGTGCTCCGTATTGCTTAGTTTTTTAAATGATTTTTTGTTATGTTTTTTTTCCGCAAATTAGGATCAATTTGGACTCACCTTCTGAGCAATGCTGAGTCGATTGAAGTCAACTGTTGTTTTTGTTCATTGAAGTCAGTAATCAAGTCCGAAACCAATTGCTTCACAAAAATCGGGTCAATCTGGGTCGAGCTTGAATCAGGTGCAAGCAATTGAACTGTTTCAACCAATAGAAGCAAAGTATTCTCAAGTGACTGCTTTTGATTGGAGGACTCTATCAGCCAATCAGAAGCTGTGGTGCTTGCGTTGATCAAAAAATTCTCTGGGTGAATTAATTTTGAGTTTAAATGGTTGGTCAATTTCTGCGCTCGAGTTACGAGCTCATTAAAGATGAAGCCAGAATCCAGGATGAGATTCAACCTAAACCAGATAAATATAAAATCATAAATTCTCGAATCTTGAAAATTAGATCTTCTGATCTTCCTTCAATCTGTTGAATTTGAATATATCAAAAATGATATGAACCCTTTCGGAACAGTTTTCAACTATTGGGCAGTAAAACAGAAAATTAAGGCATCACAACAAACATATCTTCGTAAAAATGTAGGAGCTTTTCATGCATTTTTGAATCAGTGGCGTTTCTTATCAGAAACCTTTCAGTCTTTATTTGAACTGCTTGAAAAATTTCAGCAAAAACTGTATAAAACAGTTTGTTGTAAATTCGACACTTACAAACAAAACTTGCGATACCACACAAACAAAACATTGTGCGCTAGCGGACAGAAGATAAGGAAGCCATTACGTCGATGAAGTAGAAAAAATCTACAAATGCTTCATACGTTTGTCGCGAAAGATGTCCGATGAAAGGAAAACACAAATGTCGAGAAATAAAAGCGTCAGCGTTGAAATAGCGATCAGAAAAACTGTGGTAGACGCCAATTGATCCGAAAAAATAAAAAAAGGGGTCATAAAAAAATTTGAACTAAAAAACGCTTATGACCCCAAGCGTTTCTATTCTTTTGATTACATCATTAAATGAACTTTTTCGAGCGGCAAATGAACATTTTCAGAAATGTTTTTGAGCGGCAACTAAACTGGCAATACTTGAAGACACTGTTTGAGTCGAAAACAACTTTGTTTGCATGAAAAACAGCTATAATATTTTGAAAATCAATGTTCATAGGCCCGTCACTCCAAAAATTTAAAAAAAGGATTAAAAGGTCTTTTGTTTTCAGGCAACACAACATCCAATGACTAAGGCGATGTAAAAATGCCCAAATTATTTAAACCGAATGAACTTTAAAGCAAAAAAAGTATGAAAGGAGTTGTTAGATTTTTTTAAAACTTTTAGAAAACTACGTTCTGGCAACAGCTGACAAAAAATAATCAGAAAAACGATAGAACGACATTTTTTCAGAAGGAAAATTGGTGTTCCGACCATTAAAATTGGTAGGAATTTTGGATTTGGGTGTTTTGGTTTTTTTTGTTTTCCACGCAAAATCAGGTACTTCAAATTATCATCGAAATAGATCGAATAATAGATTATTTTGAAGCCTTTTAAACCGTGACTCGAAGGACATTAAAATTTTAAGAAATGTTCTCAGTGTCGGGAAGAAGGAAGAACCCGTTTGAAAATTTTGGGTTTCAGTCTTCCGAGCGAGTAAATTGATCAGGTAACGAAATCAAATTTTTTTAGCCTGAAACTTTTCGGGCAAAAAAAAAAAATATTTTTAATATAAACAAAAACTATTTGGCATTTCTTAGGCAAAATTTTGCCTAATTCAGCGCTACTTGGGCAAAAAATCCGAAAACATTTTAAAACTAATGTGAAAAAAATATAGAAACAAATAATGTCGGATATGCCTAATTTAGCTTTCTATACATTCGAATTTTGTTTAGTTTTGGTATCACATTGCGTACAAACAAACCTTATATTTCTTTTGTCATTTATTTTAAGAGTAGGGTCGGAAAACTCTATGCTGCTTGCACTGCAACCGATTATCCTTGTTTTAATCTGCTTTCTCATAATGTTCAACTCCTTTAAGTAAAAAAAATATTAAAAATTCAATAAATTTTTTCAAAACATACGGTCCGAAAAGTTAATCTCGTGCTTACATTCTTCTTTCTGTTTTATTCGCAAAAAATGTTGCTATTATTACACAGAAGCGAAGTTGCAGGAATCCTTGTTGTTCCGACCATTTGAAAATGGGGAGCAATTTTGTGTTTGGGTGTGTTTCAGTTTTTTTTGCTTCCCATGCAAAATCAGCTACCACAAAACATAATCACCATTCGCAAACCTTTCCTAGTGTCGAAAAACAGTTATACAATTTTTGGTTTTTTGTCTTACTTCGAGCCCTATAAAGCGAGCGAGCAGGCTTACAATAGATTAATTTAAAACGTAAAAACTTAGTTTCAATCGAGTAAAATTAGTTTTGAGTGTTTTGAGTATTTAAACGCCTTTGTGGAATAAAAAATTCAAAAAACTGCAAAGCGTGAGAGTTTTTTTCCGTTTTTTAATTTACTTTATTACAAAAATAGTTTTTCATTTTGCTTATTTTACTATGAATGTCGAATATACCTAATCTCCAGTTTTTTGTTCAGCTCATTTTATCACTCCACGCCGAAAAAAACACCAATTATTCAAAAAAAAATTGTTGTTTTTTAAGACTATGCTCGGAACATTCTGTGCTACTTGCACAGTATCCGGCTATACTTGTTGCGCCGACCCATGAAAATGGAGAGGAACTTTGTATTTTTTCTTTTTGTTTTCCACGCAAAATCAGATACCACAAATAATCATCGGACTGGGTTGAGTGATATATCATATTAAAGCCCTCTCAGTCGTGATTGAAACCACTTCAACAAATCCCAAAACTTTTTCTAGTGTCGAGAAAAAACAGTTTGAAGTTTTTGATTTTCCGTTAAAATTCGATCACGTAATTTTATTTTTTATCGAGAGAAATTATTTTTTGGAGATTTTTAATGACAAGAATTTCTGCAAAAAATTGAAAAAAAAAATTATAATTTGAAAAAAAAATTCTGTTGACTGTTTAAACCGCGTTGTTCACTCCAATCTGCGTTTTGTCTCTTTGACCAAATTCATAACATGTTGAATCGGTCAGCTGTGAACATGACGTACTTGTTAAGCTGTGTCTTGATGACGTGAAGAGCCTGACTCAACCTAGACTCTAGGTTCTCCATGATTAAATCCAATTCGGCCCTGTCGTCGTCTCCCGCAAGCACTAGAAGACCTAATCTGAAGCCCCGAACTGAGATGTCGAACAGTTTGTCAAATTGCACTTCCAGTGATTCGACCAGTTGAGAGATTTCTGAAATAAGTGAACAATCAGATGCATGGTAAGCTGCAATAACTTTCGAAGTTAGCGACAATCATATTTTACTTGCTAGGTTCCTGGATCATTTTCCCTAACTTAAGATCTCTGAACATAGATGCCCTAGAAAACAATAATAGTCATGCTAGTCGCAGCTCTTGAAGGACTTACACAGAGCTGTCGTTGAAGATGAAGAGTAAATGAGTAAAAATGCCAACCTCTATTTTCTTGGTTCTGTTGAAGAGATTCGCGCAGGGAGTCCTCAATCGACTCGACCGACCAGATGCACTCGTTCAGTTGCTCATCGAAGTTCTCTGGTCCCACTGGGCTACCCTCTGAAAAAATTGATGACCTTTAAGACCAGTGGTTTGGCAAAAAAAGCAAATAAGTTTTACCAATTTCAAACAGGGTTCTTTTTCGTAGAGTTATAGAATCGTGGAGTAATTGCAGAATCATGGATTCATCACAGCATTTTGTACAGTTTGAAACATTGCTGATTTATTTCACGCCGACATGTAATTAAAATGTTAAGTACAGTTTGGATCGGATCGCTTGCTAAAATATTTTCGGAGTCACATAAAAATTAAAATAATTGCGAGTTCAAACAGTTTCTTACAGAACAGCTCAGAGATGCTTTTTGTGATCACTGCAGAAATTAACTTTATAACATTTTTGACAATAATAGCAATATAGAATAGCAAATCAGTTAATTTACACGCGGATAATTAACCGAGAAATGTGTGTTTTTGAAATCGGCTAAGGATTGGTTATTTTTCAGTCGGTTAGATTTTTTTTCGGTTCAGTGAACTGCCGATTCTTAATGCGGAAAGTTCCAGAGAGTTGCAAATTTAGGGGGAACATTGCAGACGCCCTCCCTCAAATATTTTACCCTTTACCAAGCATTTTACGACATCCATTTTTGGTCGACCGACCCTAAAATTTTTCTCAAGTCGCCTAGTGATATTAATCTTGAGCTATAAAGTTATTGAGAGGGAAATGCAAGATATAAATTACCCATATAAAGTGGCCTATTTGATTAATATAATAGACTAACCTCCTAGTTCGTCGAAGAAGCTGCAGATTCCTGAAGCAGTAGTGTGCAACTGCTTGAGTTTTGCTGAAGTTTGAATCCCTTCCTCGACATCTTGACCGAAGTTGTTCTCGATTTCCTTTGACAGCTTCTCAAACTCAGATGGTAGGGTTGAAATATCTATCTCCTGTTTAAAATGTTTTAATCAATTTCATCGATGATAGGGATTAGATCAATGAAGTTCAATTTCAAAAAAAGAGATGCTATCGCTGATATGAGTCTGAGAACCTGATGCTTTTAAAAAGCTCGACTAGTTTCTTATAGCTGAGCAAATTGTTAC